GATGACCGAGCTGCCCAACTCGACCACCTGGGGCGGTCACTACGACCTGATCCCCGCCGACCGTCTGTCTCGCGACATTGTCGGCCACGCCTTCACGGCCCTGGCCTCGACCGACAACCAGATCTCCAGCCACAACGTCAAGCAGTACTCGCACCTGAGCTCCGTCCGCATGGACATTGCCAAGGTTGTCGAGAGGCTGGGCTCGCTGCCTGAGTACGCCCAGAGCAGCCGGCCCAAGATCCCGGCCCACGTCTGGGTCGGCAAGGCCAAGATTGCCGGCTTGCGCTACCAGTTCAGCACCATGAACATGGTCCTGCAGGATGCCGAGGGCAAGGGCCTCGCTACGCTGTCGCGGTAGAGTGTTGACCATTCTACCTGGCGTGTTTGTCTCTTGTAAATAGCTTCACTCATCACTCTCATTGTTTTTTCTTCTGTCTCAAATCCTCCTGTTTACATCAGACTTTGTATAAAATTGTTTCCTTTTTCTGCAGTGGTGCCTTAAAATTTCCTGTCTTTCAAAATCTTCTTTGTTCCCAACTTCAATTTTGCTTTATAGCATAGTTTGTATGTATTAATTTGAGAAGCTGGAGATATCGAATCACATAATCCATTGTTTTCAATTTCATCTAATCCTTTGACTGCGTAATGGTAAAGACTTTGAGCATCTATTCCAATAAATTGTCTTCTAGTTTCACTACAAAAACGTCTTGGCCACAGTGAGCATCATTCATTATCTCAATTCTGCGTTTTTCGCAAGCAATGCAAGCTGCTCTTAGGTAAGAGATGGTTGTAAATCTATGTCGACTTTTTCCGGCAAAGTCAAGCCAGTAGACATTGGCTCCTACTGTTCGCGATGTTTGCATTGGACAGGGCCCATTTGAGGTTTCCAGTGGTCGGAAATGGTTTAAGTTAGGCCGTGATTCATTTATGTTGCAGGACATGTACATATGCTTTACTGCTGCCATATGCTCTGGGCTGTTCTTGTGTGTAGCAATTTATGATCACTGAAAAATACGCGCTACATCTGATAAATATTAGACACGCAAAGACATGTATTCCTATGTAAATCAAGCAAGGAACTCATTTATACAACAATTGCTTTCTAGATTCAAATAACAACGGTATCGTCAAAACAAACAAGAAGATCTATATACATCGCCTGAAGGCAGGTTTACTGTGCCCCTTGATGTAGCCCCACCCCCATGAAACAATCGTCAACACATATACACCGAAGAAGATTCTATCTCTAACCCTGGAAGTCGTAGACAAGCTTAGCCTCAAGCTTCTCGCCATCGTCCTTAGTGACCAGGACCCGCCTGGCGTGGTAGCGAACACCGCCGATAACAATGAAGCCGGCGACCTGCTGGGTGACAACGCCCTTGGACTCGAGATGCTCGGTCTTGAAGTGCATGACCTCCTCGGTGCCGTCCTCCCATCCCTGGCGGAGGTAATCGTCGTCGAGATCGGCGAGCTTGCAGAGGCGGGAGCGACCGCGGATGTTGCCGAAGAGGCCGTGGTGGAGCTCCACGGGCTCCCAGTTCAGGACTCGCTTCTCCTGCGTGGCCGGCAGGCCGCCGCTGGGCTTGTTCTCGATGTCCAGCAGGATGTTGCCGTTCTCGTCCGTGCGCTGGCTGATGTTCAGAGTCACGTTCGCCATGGCGATCACCTTGCGGGTCAGCCAGTTCACACCCTGAACCTTGAGGATGTCGGCGGAGGACTCAGAGAGGTCGTTGTTCTGGGGGTCTTGTTAGTATATTGGAGTTGGGTGATAGATGTGGGAGTTTGGGGTTGTCTTACGGTGGTCCAGGAGCCGTTAAGGTCGTGGATGGTCTTGGAAGCGGGAGCGGCCATTGTGTCGATGTGGGAGTGGTTTTGTGGGTATGTGGGTAGAGATGAGTGGTGAAGATGGAATTGAGGTTTGGTGAGTTGAGTGATTGATTGATTGATTGTCTTGTCTTGTTTCTAGGTTTCTGGAGCTTCCAACACGTTACTCATATATCTTTCGTTGTTTATAGATGACACGCCTTGTTCTGTTGGCACTTGGTACGACTCATCCCACTTCGAGTATTCAGTTGTACATGGAGTAGCATGTCGCTGCCTAGTGGACGTCAGTCAGCCAGTGTCAAACACTACTGGCGTAGTGAATCCCCTCGTTTGCCGCGTCGGGCATAGAAAGCCGGTTCTTTGGGGGCCGCATGTCGTCGGGGGTCGACAGGGATCAAGAGAATCCCGCCAACAAGGTGTATAGGGGTGGGCACAGCCGCAAGTATTGCGGTAATGGTGGATGGCTGTGTTTGTGTCAAGTTGCCTCAATGAGGAGCAATGCCCGGGAATGCCCCATTGACGCTGGTAAAAACAAAATAGACACACCAGGTACGTAGCCACAGGCACAGCTTCAAGGGAGAGCCACTAGCGCTCTGCTAACTTAAATGGGACGGAGGCGGAGATCCTCCCACAACCCTTTCCCAATCGGGTATGCAGTATGTCGGGCTACCATCGGCACCATCAGATGCACTGCCAGGAGACGCTCCGACGGCTTGTCCATCCTGGGATCACGATGCGAAGCGATCATTGCTTTTTCTCTTCTTTATTTCTTACTTACATATGATTTTCTCTCTCTCTCTCTTTTTCTTGGCCATCATCAACAACTTCCTTTATCTTTACTTCGTATTCACACTCCCACCGTCCTCTAGTCCCAATTCCTTCACGAGACTAGCCCTATTTCTTTCCTTCTTGGCATCACTAGCACTGTATCCACTAGGTTTGGGGGCCACTGCAAGCCAAGCCCAGAGTTCTAGACGTGCTACGGAGCTCATTTACGATCCGACGCCAAGATCAACCGAGTACTGACTGGTGTATCGCGATTCCCCAGCAAGGGAGATCAGCTCCAACATCATGTACGCGCGGTCCGAGAAGTCGCCCATGTTTGGGCAAGACCGGAGGCACTCACAATCCCAATACGAGCCACCTAGCTACCCGCCTCCTCAATACGATCAAACCCAGTACGGCCGCCCTCAATCGGGAGGTCCCCAGTACGGGGCCTCTCCAGTGAGACAACCTCAGTACGGACAGCCTCCGTATGGACCTCCCCCAACAGGGCAGCCTCACTACGGACAGCCACAATACGGCCAACCCCAATATGGTCAACCTCAGTATGGACAGCCACAATATGGCCAAACACCTTACGGACAGCTTCAGCCCGGTCCCAACCCCGTGTTCGGAGGGCAACCCACCCCAGACCCTAGGTACGACTCACAATCGGGGATGACCACCATGGGAGGGCCATTGCCTTTGCCCGTCGTGATCCCGCAGCAGCGCTCAGGGTCTCAAGAGCGAGGCTTCATGGCCGCCTATGCGCCAGCGCTGGACTCGTGCGGCATCGACCAAAAGACGTTCCTGCGCTTCATCGATGAGACGAACACAGCCTTAGAGGGCAACAAGTACCTCGCCGGCGTGCAAGTCGTCTCTCTTGGCGTGGGCTTCACTCCCGAGGTCATCGTCATGGGCGTCGCCGCCGCGGTGCAAGCGGGCGCCTGGATGGCCAACAAGGGCTACGTCCGAGGAAAGTAAGTGCCAACAAGACCCCGGCTCTCCCCCTCAAGGCCAATGATGCTGATCGCTTCAGGACCAACAACGTCATGGACAAGTACAACCGCGAGCTTTTCGCACCTCACGGTCTGTTCTGCATGATAATGAAACACGATCCGGAGCTCAAGGAGCCCAAGAATCCCGGCCGTCTCAAGCAGCTTGCCTCGCTGGCTGTCAACGGCTCGAGCAATGGCGGCGGCAGTGCATGGATGCGTAACCACATTTCCGGCTCGTCGCAGGGACCGGACGGTCTGCCTACGGCCGTCGCCCCGCTTGTCTACATGGACAACCGCCGCCAACACAAGAACTACCTATCCGATTCTCCGCCGGAGTCACCCGCCTTCCAGAGCGGTGTCGTCCCCGCCGGAGGCAAGACCTCCACCAAGGAAAAGGCCAAGAAGGCCTTTGACAACTTCAACGACTACCTCGACCGTCGCGCTCGCGCAAAATACGCCGCCGAGAACGGCACCGACGCGCTGAGCGGGCCGACTGGTCGTGGCTTCAGCAACCGGTACCTGGACCCCAATCATCCGGCCGTCAACGGAGGTCTGATCGGCGTGCTGTCCGGTGGCGTGTTGAGTCCGACCCCGGAGCAGCGTGCACAGAAGAAGGCTGCCAGGATTGATGAGGAGGAGAGGAGAGTGCTTGACGAATACAACGACCGGAGGGATCGCATCTTGAACGACCGACGCAGCCAATCCGAGACAGATCGGGAGTTGAGGCGGTTGGAGAAGGACTACGAGCCTCGTCTGGAGCAGTTCCGCAAGAGGAGAAGGGAGCTAGAAGGTGGTAAAAGATCCATCAAGAGCGTAAGTCCAACTCATGCTGATTCGGTGGTGTTTTGTCTGACCATGGCCTTTTGCAGAACATTTTGTACCTGATGATCGTCAACCTTCCGTCAGACGCCACTCTTGCTGCTGCTTCGTCGAAACTGGAGCACGAATATGGTCACAGTGTCATGACCGAGACGATGCCCCCTCCAGCGTACTAACTTTTCATTTCATGATACATGCAACATGTCTTTTTTTGGCGGTTTACGTGGAATAGCGGATGTTATGCGGGATGATTTCTTGATTTCTTTTGCATTGTTTTGAATGTTGAATGATCTTGTCCTATAGACCAAATACCCTAATCAGACAAATGGACCCTTCAATGTTACGTCAAAGTCATGCTCTCTACTGATGTAGTCTATGTGCTCTTGATGATGCAAAGATGATGCTGATTGCCCGTGCTAGACCCGGACACTGAGGTTGGTATCGAGAGGTGTTCTTAGTATATACAAACAGGGCAACCATAAAAGCCATCATTAGCACAGACAGCACTGTTGGGGATGATAATCAAAACGCCGAGGTAATACATCCATTCCAGAACACATGCCATACACTCTGTACTGATCAACTATTACAAATTGGCAGCAGATCCAAAAAAAGACAAAGGAAAGATAAATATATAAATAAGTAAATAAATACAAGAGAATCCATAAAAAGCGAGAGAGTTTTACAAGCTGAAAAGAGAATGTCGTATACTTGTCCAAAAGAAAAGTCCTGCTCTTTTCTTTACCGGCTAGCCTCGTGGAGACGCACCGTGACCGTGTCACCAGGAGCGCTCACCAGGGTCAAGCCCCACCGAATCCTCTGGTCGGCGTGGACGTCCTCGATTCCGTCGAAACGCTGGAGCATACGGACGAGGACGTAGCCGGCCTCGGTGAGGGCGAACTGCTGGCCAATGCAGATGCGCGGCCCACCATTGAAGGGCAGGTACTCCCAGCCGGAGCGGCGGGCCTCCCAGCGCTCGGGCTTGAATTCTTTCGCGTCCTTGCCCCACACGTCCTCGCGGCGGTGCAGCATGTGCACGTTGTACAGCACGGCCTGGCCCTTCTTGATGTACACGGGGCTCTGGCCGTCGGGGCCGCCGCCGCGCGGCAGACTGGTGTCCTTGGTGGCATAGCGGGCGTTGGTGGGCAAGGGCGGGAACAGGCGGAGCGTCTCGTTCATGACCTGCTGCAGGTACGTGCAGGCCTTGAGCGTGGCAAAGGTGATGTTTTGGGGGTTCTCATAGGTGCCGAAGTCGGCGATGATGGCCTCGCGCAGCTTGTGGAAGACCTCGGGGTGCCGGGAGAGCAGCAGTGTGGTCCAGCTCAGCAGCGCGGCGGTGGTATCGCGGCCGGCGAGCAGGACGTTGAGCAGCTGCGAGCGCAGTTCGATCGGGTCCTTGGTGGTTTCAGCCATGGCGTGGACAAAAATGTAGTGCTCCGACGCGCCCTCCTCGAGGAGCTGCTGCTGCTGCTTCTTCTTTTTGTGGTCGTGCAGGGCCTTGGCCACGCACTCGTCGACGAAGCGGTGGACTTCCTGGCAGCAGGTTCGGAACTCTTTGTTGTCGTACAGGAACTTCATGCGAGGAAGACGAAGGCGCTGCGCCATGTACCATTGGGCGCGGTCAAAGTTCTTGCCAAAGTCGGTCACCTTGCCGCCACTGACCATGCGGTCCTCGGCGTCGCCCATGGCGGCCAGCTGGGAGTAGCAGCTCTCGCCGAACAGCAGCTCGGTCGCCGAGTCGAGGGTCAGACGGAAGTAGATGCTCTGGATGTCGACCTCGGTCCAGCCGTTGCTTCCGGCGGCGGGGATGGCGCGCATGGCGTTTTGGACGTGGCGCTCTTCGAGACCCAGGTCGCTGATCTGCTCACGGGTGAACTGGGGCCGGAGCATGGTACGCGAGTGTGACCACTCGGCGCCGTCGTTGATGAACTGCAAGACTGATTGTCAGCTTGGGCTGGCTCGATCTACATACACGCAAAAAACACGAGGAAATGCTAGAACGTACGATTCCCTTGCCCAACAACGGGCCCATGCATCCCAGTCTCTCACCACCAACGGAAAAGTCCTTGAATTGCTTGGCCAACATGGCCTGGAGGTTCTCGGGGTCAAAGGTGAGCAAGTTCTCGCCCAGACCTCTCTTGAGACGGAAGGTCGAAACGTAGCGTCCGGCATTGTTGTCGCGCATGATGTTAGTGCGGCTCTCGAGCAGCTCTGGCACCACCTTGTCCTTGTCCGCCTGGATGATCTCCAGGATATCCCCGATAGCGAGGGGGTCCTTGGACGGGGCCATGGGCGCTGGCTGGCAGCCCAGGCGTTTGGCATTTTGACGGTGCCTCCATTTCTCGCTCACGATGCGCAGGATGAAAGTAAGGCCGACGAGGACCAGGAGGAGGCTTGCAAGTCCCATGATGGTCAAAGTAGTACTTGAGATTAGAAGGGTGGGGATGATCCCTTCCGACAGCAGCGTCCATACATAGATATATCCTCGTTTTCCCTTTCATGTTTCATGATCACTTATTCTGGACATTCCTAGTGAATCCCGCAGGAGTCGATACTATTCCACCCGGTTACTCTGTAGTCAGCAGTGGTTATACTGTCACTACGGATCTACTGTGGTCTGGTAGATCCTTCCGGGGCGCGTGGCTGATCGGAGTGGATGACCGGGAAATGTTACCCAATTGGGAAATCGTTGCTAACTTGACCCGCTTTGGCTCCCACCCGTTTATCGCCTTTGCACAGCCCGACACCAACAGGGCTGCCCTGTTTGTCCTTCATGTTTCCCGTTGGATTGCTAGTCCTGATGAGCCTCATTGCAATAATCAGCTTGATGGTGAATCATGCCACCGACGCGCTTGACTGCGTCGTACGATGCTCTACTTATACAAGCTTCCAAACACGTGCATTTCCCGCCTGCTGCTGGCGATACGAATGGGACCCATAGTACTACTGAACCCTGCAGCGCGCAAGGCTCTTGGCGAGCTTAGACGCCCTTCGGGAAATCGCCCCAGTACTATGTCTTGTCTGCTAATGCTCGGTAAGTGATTGGGCAACGTTGAGCCATCCCAACCAAGCAATCACGGAAAACCCCCTGGATCGTCAGTGGTAGCACATGGCGATGGGCTGTCAATGACATGATTGTTGACCTCGTGGCTTTGCGTATTTCTCCACTTCAACCTTTTCCGCAGTCGATTTCACACGGACTGGGCCGAGTCCGATTGTCGAATGATAATTTTCGATCGGGTTTTCCAACTCCATGATCACAGCGACGCACAAATGCCAATTTTTCAAAGACCCATAGCAGTTGCGCAGGGGGCTTTCATAGCAGAACTTCAAAGCTGTGTAGTTGAGATAAGTGGACTGTCCGGCAGCAACAATTGATATGGCGAATTTCCATCTCAGTGGCCGGTGCCTCGATAGTTTGCTAGTACACATGGTCTTCCGCCCGACGTTCGACTAGTGATATCAGCAATCCGGCAAGCAGCGGGGCTCGTAGTGACATTGAATATCCAGCGGCGTGGACTTACGGCTTCTGTAAGAACGTATACCAAGTTGCGGGTGCTACTAGCCCTCGGCGAAAATTCCGACCGCGGACGCGATCCATTGTAGGCAACAGAAGAAAGCAACATTTCGTACAAATCAAGCGGTGCTTGGGAAATTGTGCGAGCAGGAGACCCAAACTATTAGAGTTGCCTCAAAGAAACAAAATGAATAGAGCAGAAGGAAAACCTATTATTAACAGTATAGCCCATATATCTCGACTAATCTTGTTATCTGCATCGTTGGTCTCATATGGAAGGAAATTACTGAATTCTCCGGCCACAGACTTACTATGCTGGTTGGTCGGTGGTGGTCAATAAGGATGCATTCTATTCAGCTGTGTGAGTACGCTTACGTGCATGATTATACTCTCCCATCGTGTACAGAACAATCTTACCAGACACTTGTATCAGCATCAAAGAAGCCACCCGAAGCAAAGCCTCTTGAGAATTATGTTGATGCATTAACAGTCGCACAAACCGATCCAGTAGTACTCTTTGCTTTGGCTAATTCGGCACAAACGGGGAGAAGTCAGGGATAAAGTACCGTACTAGTATGAGTCTCAAACAGCAACGCACGGTGCACCAGTTCATGAACATTTATTCTATCCTGCCATGTTGATGGCATCCCCATCAAGGGTAGCATACAGCACGGGTAATCAACTTTCGTGATAATCCATAAATACCACTGCATACCCATTAGACCCCGTTAGGGTAGCAGTGCCCTCCCGGCTGTCAGGATCCTGAATGCTCCGGAACCCGTACGGAACAAAACGACAGAATGGCAACCGGGGCTCATAGAGTCAAGCTGTAGGGCTCGCGTGGCATGGCCTAGCTATAGTGGTCTTAGGGTGGAGACATTTCAGGCCTAGAAACATGGATCTAGGTCTAGAGAACATTCGAGACCAAGTAGCCAAGCCTCCAACATGGCCAAGCATGCGCTGCATGTCATGCTCCAGCCTGGTGTGCTTCAGGCAGTGAATCCACCGGACTTAAGCTGCTCCGCCATCCAGTAAAAGACTAGGATTTTATGTCTACAGACGCAGAACGCGCATCCCTTGTAAGCTTAGGTGAATGTGAGATCGACCGAATCCTTGCACTGCGCACCGGCACATCTGCCTCGAGCAATAAGAAACTTCTTCTAGTGATTCTGTGCAGGCTCTCATAGCTAAAAAACACCACAGCCAGAGATTTCAATAAGCCTTACCTGGTACATTCCTCAGCAGGAAATCACACAATCCATGCCATACTAGAACGAGCTTCTCGTTTGAATCAACTGAGTAGTAGAAGTCATCTAAATTCCCCGCCTCACCCAAGAAAATAATGAGATGAAAACGAGACCGGCATAAAGAGTCTCTTATTAAAGGCCTACGAATACAGCAAGCTGTGATGCTGACATCTGCCTCAATATTCGTATTCAAGTGTGGCTAAGTCAGCACATTTCTCTTTAGTCGGGCCTTTCCTCAAGGTTTTTAGTAGGCTTGCTGTTGGAATGGAAACTAAGACCAAATAGTTAAGAGCTCTACTATCACGGTTGATTCAGAATACGGAGAAGGATTTTGACTCCACACCTAACATAAGCCACGATCGCGTGGCCCAGACGGTCGAGCGGCCCATATCATACCGTAAAAGATGTATCTTTTTCGAATTATTATACCTGTTTAACCACATTTTTGAGGCTAGAACTTTCTTTAGCAAGTAATGATTAGAAGATAGATTTATTATAATTATTCAATAGTTTTCAAAAAGATCTGGTTAAAATATAAAAATTATCTTGAATACAAGTAGAATACCCAGTTTTATGTTACCAGGTATCATTTGTAGATGAATATTCTGGAGAATTATCACATAAAAAACTCATTATAACCATAGTCGATGTTGGTAAACTAACGTCTCATCGTCTTTGTTTTCAAATCAAAAGTAATTTTCGATAGCGTTATCGGATGAGCGGCTTATCAGGATTCAGCCTGAATCAATCCTCCAGATACTAACCGCTAAGCGACCCAATAACAGCTTAGGATTCGGAGCCAACAGACTCAACACACATCCCTTATAAGGTTACAGGGGAATATGAGGCCGATCCTCACATAGGGCTGCCTGCCATGATTCAGCCCGGTGCGCTTCATGCCGTGAATCCTTCAGGTACTGACCGCTAGGCGATCCAGTGACGGACTAAGATTCTGAGACATCCCTTATAAGCTTCCAGGAGGAATACGAGGTTGGATCCTCGTATCACTCCCCACTTCACCAGTGGGATTTCTTCAGCCCCCAGGTGCTTTTTAAACTGGCCCCCAATTCGAATCCAAAACTAGTCATGTATTCCCTCATGGTTAACTAGTTTACATCTCTAATTATCAGCCACGTGTACAATCTATGAATGAACCCGCGATTCTTGACTCAGAATCATATCAGGATTCAGCCTGGTGTGTTTCAGGCCGTGATTCCTCCGGATCCTCGACCACGAGGCTATCCGGCATGAGAGACTGTGATTCTGAGACATCGCTTAAAAGCTTACAAGTGAAGATGGAATCAGACCCTCACACCCCTTGTCGGTATCTTCCGCTTGGTTTCAGCATGGCAATTGCTTAAATACCTTGGCCTTCACGTGACTGATTTAGTGCTTATCCTGCCTCGGAGATTCCTTGTCCTTCTCCTATTCGAATTCTCTCCGCCATGGTCAAGGGGCTCATTCGACATCGGCTTGCGGGACTGGGTTCGTCGTCAAGGAAGGTGGATAGGGGAGGAGTATAATCTGGCCGGGTGTGGCATAGGGCTCCGGAAGTCTCCCGAAGGAGGAGCGGAATGTTGAGAATCCTGAAAATCCTGGCCCCCAGGGATCCTCGCGCTTGAGGCTGGGGGGATGGAGCCGGAGTGAAAAGGGCTGTCGCTCCCTTTCACCCGATCGACCCACTGGATCTGCGTCAGCTTACGTGGGGGCCAGAATGTCAGCAGACATTCTGCGCGAATAAGGAGGGAGAAGCGATGGCAAGCGAGATCCATGAGACGTGACAGACAACACGGAAAGTCCTAAAGGAATGAGGAAGAAAGATTGCACGATCTTTCTTCACCCTTTTGTGTGAAGATTACTTAGATGATTACGGTCTTATACAGTGACTTTTTGGACGCTAACTTCCCAATACGATGAAAGGGGATTGTTTTTGAGGCACTAAATCAGGACTAACTAACGCGGTTTCAGGTACCGGGCTGAGAAATCATGTCTGTCTGTGTAACTATAAGTATTGACCAGTTGACAGAGTCACGTGCCTTGGTGTAATTCTCTCATGACTATACCATACCGTGGCTGTATTTAAGCTCATTAATGGGCGACTCTATTAATATAATTAGCTATGTTAAACCCCTCATTTCCTTAATAATAGTATTTCTAGATGGGGAGGAGACTTAAAGTCTGAGCCACCTCCCAGAATTAAAGTTGGAAGCCGTTTAGTATCTGAAATCCGCTCAGACTGGATGATTTCGATGCTCCACGTGGAGCAGTCCCATCCCTATAGCAGGGGGTGCTTATAGTTATACGGGGTTATACTGGGTGATGACATGTATAGTCGATCAGTGATAGCTGTGCTGCGGTGCTTTGCTGTGCTTTGCTGTGCCCTTCCGGCTTGGCCACCGGGCGCTAAAAATCTTGTGTCTGTGTCTATTTAGGCACACCGTTTTTCGCCCACTTCCAATGGTCTTTGTCGTTTTGCTTTCTCTTTTCCCTCTTTTCCAATCCATTTTTTTACCCGTGTTCTTGGCCGAACTTGGCCTCCACCTCTCATCTGGCCTTCTCTTGTGTCTCCACGCGGCACCGGGACAATTTCCCCCCTCCCTTTCTCTGTGATTCCCACGTACTACGTCGGTGCGTAGGGTTTGATGCTTGGCCCATTTCCCCGCCTATTCATTCATCCATCATCATCACCATCATCATCACCACCACACACACACTCTCACAGGGCAGAATCGCCATCATGGTCTACTGCGGTCGCCCTTCCACAAGTTGCAATAATTGTCGCGCCAAAAAGAGAAGAGTAAGTCATTCCTGTTTTGCGCCCCTTTACAAATCACCGAAAATCATTTGGATTGGAGCAGTGTAAACAAGACATTTTGGCCCATGTCTAACCTCCCAAACAACAACAGTGCGACAAAGCAGTCCCCGAATGCGGCCAATGTTGGCGCACGGGTCAGAAATGCCCGGGATACAGAGATCCCTCCAGCCTCATCTTTCGCGATGAGAGCACTCAAGTCATCAACCGCGCCCGCTCAAAAGTCTCCAAGAGGACGTCGGCGACCACTCCAACCGACCGCCGCTCGGTGGAACGCACAGCTTCACCACAGGCACAGATACAACTACAACACCAACTAGAACAACAACAACAACAGCAACAGCAACAGCAACAACAGCAACAACAAAACACTTCCGCACCAGACTATCCGACCAGCCGCCCTTCCGATGTTGTCGACGAGACCATGCTGGACATGACCGACGTCGATGTTGGAGCCGGGATTTTCGCCGGCGCCAGCTTCATGCCCGACTTAATGAGCTTCCCCGACCCTTTCAACCCGGATGAGACGGGGCTCTTCTCCCTCCATCCGGATGTCTCGCCCAGCGCCATGCCGGTATCGGGTGACGGTCCTGCATCCGCTGCTTCTGTTCCTGCCTCCGTGTCTGGGCGCCGTTCGCGTATCGGTGCTTCGAGCGTAGGCGGCGATGATGTGGCTCTCGATCATTTTCCTGATGACGGCACCCACCGCGGCGACCGCCAACAGCTCGGACACAACGACTTCACCAGCAGTCAGCTCGAGGTCATCGCGCGTCCCATCTCCTTGCCTCTCGTCGTCATCGGTCTCGATTTCTTCTTCTCTCACTATGTCGTTCCGCAGTCCGGCCCCTCCTCCGGCTTTTTGGACTACGCGCCGGCCATGCTAGCGCAAGACGACGGCGGAAATGACATGCTTGAGGGTGCCATTCTGGCGCTCGGCTTCAGTGGGCTCGCTCGCACCACGAACCAGACCGACCTGTTGACCCGGTCCATGATGATGTACACCCGCACCATGGAGCGCGTCAATCTCGCCCTCGCCGACCCCCAGGCCGCCCGTCGCGACAGCACCATTGTCTCGGTCCTCGTCCTCGCCCTCTACGAGTTCAGCAGGGCCTCTCTCGACGGCTGGAAGCACCACATTGAGGGGGCTACTTCGCTCCTCAACCTGCGCGGCCGCTCCCAGTTCTCCACCCCGACCGGCCTGCAGATCTTCAAGGATGTCTTCTCCCAACTCCTCACCAACTGCATGCGCTCCGGCTCTCCCATGCCCTCGAGCCTACGCATGCTGCGCATCGAGGCCACCAACGCCCTCAGCATCTCGGATCCCTACTGGGTCGCCTGCAGCGGCAKGGTCGAGCTTCTCGATCTCTATCAGCACATTTCCCCGGGCGGCTACTCGTTCTTTCCCAACTCTTCCGGCATCTCCTCCTCTTCCTCCTCCACCTCCTCCGCTCCCGCCGCCCCTTCCGATTCCTCCAACTCCCCCTCTGCTGTTTCCGGTTCGTCCCCGGCCTCTACCTCCTCCATGGCCTCCGGTCCTCTCAAGGGTGCCAGCATGTCCATTGAGTACCTCGAGCGCTACCTCTCGCAGGCGCTCGAGATTGACTACCGCCTCGAAAGCACCTTCTCCAACTGCCCTACCGAGTGGCAGTTCACCACCCAATCCAACTCGTCTAGCAACACCTACGATCCGACTCGTATCCAGCGCGACGTCCACCACATCTACCACGATGTCTGGATCGCCGACGTCTGGAACAGCATGCGCACCTGCCGCATCCTGGCCAACCACGCCATCAGCCACCTTCTCCTCCGCGGCGCCAACACCGACAGCAATTGGTTCTTCGCCAACAACTATGCCGAACGCCTGCACCAGGCCACCCAAACCATCGTCCGCATGCGCGACGAGATGCTCGCCTCCGTGCCCCAGCTCATGGGCTACGCCACCTCGCCGACACAGGAGCTGCAGCTGCAGCAACAGCAGCAGCAGAAGCAGCCGCCCGAGCGCGCCAAGAACATCGCCGGCTCGGCCGTCGGCGGCTACTTTGCCTGCTGGGTTCTCCTCACCGTGGGCTGCATGCACAACCTCGGCCACGAGACCCGTGCGTACACGGCCGCCCAATTGCGCCGAATCAGCTGCGAAGCAGGGCTTGCGCAGGCAGAGGATTTCGCCAACTTTGTTCAATCAAGCAACCTCCGTCCACCATTAAGTGGATAGTATGGCAGCATCATTCAATTGTACATATTTAATACAGCGATAATCTGCATATAGAGCATACACTGTACATAGGGTTACACGGGTATATATATCCCCTTTCACTAATCAAAAGTTTAAAAATGCCTCATCTGGAAGGACTGTATGTGTTAGTGTAGATGTCCACGTCTTGTAAATCATATTGGTTAAGTTGCATTCCTGCACGAGTCGAAAGGGAAAGACGTGCCACTTAGAATATGGGGTTACGGATACCATGAGTTGTACTACTTATTGGCATCTGTCGACTGCACTATGCTTTACCCTTGACAACAGCGGCTTATCAAGAGGGTTCGAAGAACAAACTTACACTACGCAATGCACAACATCTCTTTGAACACTTCAGATATGAAATTGAATAGTGATGATATAAATAAACTGGAAAATGAAGTAAGCTAATAATTACAATCATGACCAATTGACAAGACAAAAAGGGGAAAATAACAAGAAGCATCATCATCAACAATAAAAAAGGGATAAAACAATCAGTCAGTCCCAAAGCCAAGCATCCAAAACCAAATTCACAAATTATATACAGATTACATAAGGTATAGAATACCACTTATTAGTATAAATATCTACTGCTCTCCTGCCTTGACAAGTCCCACCGGGTCAAACTCCCCATCAGGATTGCGCAAGATCTGTTCCAGCGACTGCTTCAGAGTCAGCAGCAAGCCCTGGACCCATTCCTGCGTCATGAACTCGTAGCCCGGCCAGCGGTTATTGTACGTGCAGCGGAGACGGAACTTCTCGTCCTCGCTGTCACGCCCGGGCCAGAGCTCCATCAAGACCGGGTAGCCGTGGTTGGTCTCCTTCCAGGGCTCCTGGAGGCGCTCTTCGCGAGTGAACCCGGGCAACGTCTCCATGCTGGTCTTGGGCAGCCCGCTGGCATCGACATCCACCTCGACCTCCTCCTTGGGGTAGGCCTGCAGGATGATCGTGTTGTCGAACCGGCGCGTCAGCTTGGCAAAGTCGATGGTCGGGCACGGCATCTCCGAGAACTCCAGCGAGTCGACGTACTGCGTGAACAGCTCCTGGCAGATCTCGCGATGCGTGCGCTTTTTGGACCCGTCCGAGAAGACGATGCGTGTGGGCAGGACGTCCAGCATCAGCGCCACGCAGCGCAGCGCCTCGGGGCTGTAGCGCCCGTGGAACACGCTGCCAAATTGCACGTCCAGGTTGGCTGCCGATGGCTGCTCCGGGCCGGCGCTCTTGGCCTTGACCAGTGTCTGCGCGAGTGTCATGGCCCAGGCGCCCTGGACAATCGCCATGGGCGAGGGGAACTTGGCGGTCCGGGTGAAGGAGAAGAGGTCGTTCATGCTGATGGAGGCTTCGAGCATCTCGCACGCGGTGTCCTGCGCGGTGCGGATGGACGTGTACTGTTGGGGAGTGGCACGCGTGAGCACGGTCGTGCCAGCCTTGAACGGCGCCACACCGGCGAGACGCTTCATCCAGTACATGCTGGTGGCGAGCCAGTCGGTGCTGTAGTGCTTCTCGACGGGGAGGCGCATGCCGACCGCGGGCAGGTTGCTGGGAGGAAGGCCCTCGTAGGCCTTGGCGAACGAGCGGCGCAGGAAGTCGAAACTCATCCCGTCGTAGATGAGGTGGAAGAGGGAGAAGATGACGACGTGGTGCTTGTTGTCGGCGGAGCGCACGAACTGGACAACGGCGCCCGGGCGGTCCAGACGGATGTACTCTTCGGCGCTGCGCTGCGCGTTGCCGATGGTCTGCTCCCAGAGGCTGTCCGGGCTGGGGTCGTACTCGTGCACGACGCTGTGGACTAGGGGCAGCTGGGCACGGGGGTGTGCAGGGTTGAGGATGCATTGGGCGTAGGGGCTCAGGGGGTGCTGGACCTGCACCCAGACGGTGCGGAAGGCGTCGTGGCGCTTGGTGACGTCGAGGATGGCCTGCTCGAGGCGGATGGGGTCGAGGTCGTCGGGGACGTGGTAGACAAAGTGCTCGATGCAGGGCTTGGTGATGTTCATCTCCTCGGCCTCCTCGACGAAGACGAGCATGCGGGTCTGGACCCCGGTGGCGGGCAGAACCTCCTCGATGTCTTCGCTGGCGATGCCGAGCGACTCGACGCACTGCGGACGGGCAACCGAGTTGAAGTGTCGCAGCTTGGTGGCCAGCGACATGGTCAGCAGCTCTTCCTCGTCCTCGATCTCAATGGCTTCGTCCTCGCCAAGGTCCTGGTCCAGCTGGTCCTGGGACGAATCGGCCAGCAACTCGCCAATCTTCTTCGCCAGGTCCGCAACTACCGGGTAGGCGAACACGTCACGCAGGAGGATAGTGGTATTCAGGCGCTGGTTGATGCGCTGGGCAACACGGGGGGCCATGAGCGAGTGGCCGCCAAGGTCGAAGAAGTTGTCGGTGATGCCGACGGCATCGACATTGAGCACACTGGAGAGCTCTTCGCACACGGCACGCTCCACTTCGGTGCGCGGCTCCACGATCTGGCGAGAGCCCTTGGCCGCCTTGCCGAACACGCTCGCCAGTCTGGCCAGCTCCTTGCGGTCCACCTTGCCGTTGGCGTTGATGGGCATCTTGTCCAGCACGACGATGCGTGCCGGGATCATGTACTTGGGCAGCGAAGCCTGCAGCGCCGCCTTGAGCCGAGCCTCGGCCTGGTTCTCGAGTCGGCCGTCGTGGCCGGCGTCCTGAGAGTCCTGCTGAGCAGCGGCATTCACGATGTCATCTTGAACAGTGACAAAGCTAGCAAGCTCCGCCAGCCCGCCCTCGGGTTGGTGCACCAGAGCCACGGCATCGGTGACAGACTCGATGCGCAGAAGAGCATGCTCGATCTCGGGCAGCTCCACGCGGTGACCACGGATCTTGACCTGGAAGTCCATGCGGCCAAAGAACTCGATCATGCCGTCCGAAGGGCGGTGGCGCACGCGGTCACCGGTGCGGTAGGCGCGGACAGACTGGCCGTTGATGACCACATTCACGAAGCGGTTCTTGTTGAGCGCCGCGTCGGTGTATCCACGGGCGAGACCGTCGCCCGTGACGATCAGCTCACCCATGACGCCAGGAGGCACGAGGCGCTGCTCCGGGTCCATGACGAAGGCGCCCGAGTTGCTGATGGCCACGCCGATGGGCATGCCGTTGACACACTTCTCGTCGGCCGGGACCTTGTAGATGGTGCTGAAGGTGGTGTTCTCGGTGGGACCGTAGGCGTTGACAAGGTCACCCTTGATGATGCCCTTGGCCTGGGCGGCATCGCGGGGGTCGAAGCGGTCTCCGGCAGCGAAGAGGAGTTCCAGGCCGGAGAGAGCCCATGGCGCGTTGGCAAGGCACTGCTTGAGGAGGGCCGGCGTGAGCATGCAGGACCGCACGGCTTCGCGCTGCATCACCTGTCCCAGAGTGATGGGATCGACGACCGTCATGTAGTCGATGCAAACGAGCGTGCCGCCGTTGAGCAGCGCGGCGTAGATCTCCCACGTGGCGGCGTCAAAGGCCAGGTTGGCAACGTGCGCAATGTTGCCACTTGACTGCGTCTTGGAGGCCACGTTAGTCTCACGCACCAGGCGCACGATGCCGCGGTGTTCCACTTGGACACCCTTGGGCTTGCCCGTTGACCCGGACGTGAACATGACGTATGCGAGGCTCAACGCCGTGGGCGTCGGCAGAGCGCCAGCGCAGAGCTGGCCTTGCTCGTCCAGGGCCTGGGCAATGTGGCGGAAGCTCACGTCCTTGAGCTGCAGAGTGGGAGGCGTGACGCCGGCACCGAGGAGGACGAGCTTGTCTCCCTGGACGGCGGAGAGGATAGCCTCCAGGCGGCCAACGGGAACGTTGATGTCGAGAGGCAAATAAGCGAGATTGGCCTTGAGAATGGCCAACAGGGCCATGATGGTCTCGCACGACCGCGGCGCCAGCACTGCGACCATGGTTTCCGGGGCGAGCCCGCGCTGGACCAGCCAGTGGGCGAGCTGGTCCGATTGCCGGTCCAGCTCGGCGTACGTGAGCTGAGAAGACGAGTAGGCGTTCTTGACGGCCACGGCGTTGGGGCTGAGAGAGACCTGTTTCCGGAAGAGCTCGACGACGCTGGCGTCGCGCGGGTAATCGGTGCGCACAACATCAGCGAGGCCCATGTCGGCCAGTGCTGAGAGACCCTGGGTGAGAGGCATGGTCGAGACGAGAGTCTCGGGTGTCTGGAGGCCACGGCCGAGGATCTCAGTGAAGACGGACTCGACCAAGCGGATGGACGACGCTTCAAACAGATCATCCGAGAAGAGGATGTGACCGCTCATGCGCTGAGCCTCCTGGATGAGGTGGAATTCAATGTCGAAGTTGGACGTGGCTACCGTCACACCGTCGAAGCGTGGGCTGTTGGCATCTTCTGACGAGTGAATTGCAAATGTCGTCTGAACGAGCGGGTGACGGCCCCGGTCGGCGGCGCCGGGACGCAGCTTCGAGACGATCTTCTGGAAGGGGACATCCTGGTTGCTAGAGGCCGCGCTGTTGGCTTGCTGAACGTGCTGGATGAGAGCACGGAACGAGTCCTCTGGCTCAACGGTGGTGCGAAGGCATAGAAGGTTGGTGTTTCCTGAATTGGGTGTGCCAATGGTGGCATCGTCGACGCCGGTGAGGCGGTAGTGCGTCGCCCGGAAAGCGGCGAGGAGCACCACAAAGGGAGTGAACTGATGTGTCTGGCAGAAAGCCTGAAGCTTTTGGTAAAGCTGGTCATCGAGGGCGAAGTGGTGGACCTGCGCCTTGCCCGAGAGAATGGCCGACCGGGGCTTGTCGCAGAGCAGCTGGGCGGGCTGGCTTCCCTGGAGCTGCTCTAGCCAGTACGCGAGCTGATACTGCTCGGTCTCGGCCATTGTGATGGATTAATCTTTTGTTTTGTGTTGGTAAAGAATGAAAAGGCCAGGACGATGGAAGGCCGAGAGGATGGATCGTCAACACATGTTCAGCCCCACAAAGCAGACACCCCGGTCATGTTGTCTTTTATATAGACGGAAGAGCGATCATGTTGTCAGCAGCGTTCCTGGGGGGATTGCTACAAGTAGAAACCGAACCCTAACTCATGATCCTCCGGACTGACATTGTCTGCAGTGTAGTAACGATCTTGAAGAGTGGTGTAAGATTATAGTTTAGTCAGAGGAAATACGAACTACGCGGAAAGTAAGCTGTTCAAAGGAAGGAGACGGAGATTGCACTGTGTTTCTAGTAGGATGGGGGGGCTTCGTAGGATCAATCTCACTAAAATGGGGCTAGTGGGCAGCTGGTGAGGTTTAGTGGCAGTGCTTCAGCTGTCAAGCCTTAAGGGAGGGAGGGCTACGTAGAATGGGTGTGGCTTGCAAAGTGCGAGGTAAGAGACAAGAGTTGTGAGGTTGGGGGAAATGTTACCCGAAATGGACAGCTCGAAGTCCGGCGAAAGAAACCAAACGATGACGGAAACAGAATAGCGGTGCCAAAGATGACAGGGGAAGGAGATCTTGGAGGGGGGCGATGACCGGGTAGTTCAGTAGTTCAGTTAGGACTAGATTAGTCTAACCGGCAGCTATCCACATGCCCTTACATCTTCAATCTATTCCTAATGGGGTATGCTCGATGTTAAGGGTTCCACATGGAGATGCCCGCAAACCCTCAAGATGTCACTGAATACCTCGTTCGTCTTTGTGTTCAGGTGCACAGCCCGAACGCATTTCAATCGCTTTTCATCTTAAACCTGCTTCACCACGGGAATTCGCTCTCTCTCATTTTACACCCCTCGACGTTTATTTCATTTATTCCACTCGGATCATTTTCTCCTCCAAGGCAGAAGAAGCTGGTGTTCGAATAACTCCCGACTTCAGCCCTATCCTTGATATTTGTTTTATCAGATCATACCAGTTCTCCGGGGGCCTTCCATACCTGCCTTGACCTCTTAGTCTAGACTGCCCATCAATCAGCCATCCGCTATCTCCGCCGCTCCGGCCCCGCTCGATCCAAGATGGGGAAGTTTACCTATGAAGATGGTATCGCGTTGTTGCAGCTCATCGCTTTCGTGCCCTGCCTCTTCCTCGCCCTTCTGTTGTGTTACCAGCAAGGAATGAAGGCCGTGGCATCATGTTGGAGATTCCTCATTATCCTCGCCTGTCTCCGAATCGCCGGCGCTGTATGCCAGCTCATCACCATCACTGACGAATCGATCGATGTTATCACCACCAAAATCACCTGCGACTTGTTGGGTATCGCTCCCCTAACACTGGCGGCTGTGGGTTTGCTGCAAAGAGTGTAAGTCGCAACCCTGATAGCCACCTACGCGTGACTCGAGACTGACGTAGACATGTCTTGTTTCAGAAACGCCTCGATCAACAAACTCTCCAAATGGATCTTCATCTTCGTCAGCATCGTCAGCTTGGTCGGACTGGCCCTTGGTATCGCCGGCGCGATCAAGGCCCTCGACACCTACACCATCCCCCCCATGCTCCAAGCCGCATTGGGCATGTTCGTCGGCTGCTTGGGTCTCCTGCTGGCCATTCTGGGGTACCTGACCGTCTACCGCCACGAGATGCCTCGCAACGAGAGAATCATCCTGTACTCCGTCTACGCCTGTGCCCCACTGCTCATCGTGCGCACCATCTACGGCTGCTTGGGCGACTACACGGACATCGAGCGGTTCAACCTGTTTGAGCCCAACCCCACCGTCAATCTCTGCATGGGCGTCCTCGAGGAGATTTTCCTCATGATCATCTGCCTCGCCGTTGGCTTTTACTGCCCCCCGCCCAAGGAGCCCGAACCTGGTAAGTCCTATCATCATATTCTAGCGTGATCGATTCTTTCCCATGACGAATACCCACGCTGACAAACTCGTAGAAGCTTCCGAGACAAGGAACTCGGACGAGTCCACCATTGTGGAGAGACGCTCCTCCTCCCCCAACCACATTTTGAACAAGGAGAAAAGTGCCGAGGAGGGACGCATGGGGACCACCTCGCCTGTCGAGGCTATGTAAGATCTGGGCTGTTTCTTCCACTCGTCACAAAGCGCGCCCGCCTATACCCATGCACTGTGTCGGAGATTCCTTTTCGTTGCAATGATAATAAACCCTTTGGGATTGGCCCCTGCGGGCAAGTCCAGAGATCTGGCGAATCTGTTTTGATTTGGTATGTTTTTTTTTTTTTCTAGCGTTAAGCACCCGTTCATTCATTTGAAACAAAACTTCGAGAACTAGAGTAGTTTGTTAGCAATTGCTAAATACCAAATACCCCTTTCTAGGAATTTTTCTGTCTCTCTCTTTGCGAATCTCTGGAATTGATAATGCCCCTTGACATGAAGTGGACAAAGCAGGGTTATGGTCCTGAGTCTTGCGACATAATGCACTGAGTACTGTTGAATTGCAAGGGCCAGAAAAGGTTCAATGGTCGGACAGATATCACGAAATTGAAATTGTTAGTGTGTATACAGCCGAGTGGTATCGCATTGGCTCAAGTTGCGAATTCTTTTCAGGATGCTTGGCGGGGCCCCAGCACATCGAGCACTTCGTCAGCTGGCCTGACCTTTTCATTCAACGACCAGAACTTATGTGACCTCCACATCCACATATGGGTCAGGCCGTACTCGATCAGAGCTCATAGATGCGAACCGCACTGATTATCCTGGCATATGAAATTCTTTAAAGCGAATATTTATGTATAATGTATTACTAGAGTAGTTTTTAATTGCACAGTTCTATGGGCCAGGCCAGGGTATTTCCTGTTTTTTATTCCATGTTCGTAAGTCAGACTTTCTAGGGGACGATCTCGATATCGGGGCATTGAATGAGGAGCAGCTTGAGCAGGAGTCTAATAATGGAGCCAATACAATTGCCTCTATCACGCAAGAGTGGATTGTCTATCTATCCACTATCCTTCTTGAGTCTGAAACATTCATTCCTTGATATCTACTAATTATTATTTTGAACCTATGCGGTGGAGCTACGAAAGATTGTAGTAAACATTTATTCAATAACACTTGGCTAGTTTTCTTTTCAATGAAATGAATTTCGGAATCTAGCTAACGATTCATCTATTACTATACATTAGCCATCCACATGCAGCGTTACGCATCAACACATATCCATCTATGGGGCAAAATCAAAGATCAAAAATCAATGTCTTTTAGTAAAAAATAGAACAGATCAACTCCACAACGCGTGGAAGACAGAGGTGGGGGAAGTCTGATTCTCAGAATCTCAGAATGAGATGAAATGAAGCCGAAAGAAAAAGGGTGCAACAGTCAAGACGCGAACACGCGTAACGCAATTGTTTCCCCAGATTAACAGACGATGACAATCATCCGTAAGAAAGAAAAGAAGAAAATGTGTAATCAAGAAATGAGTAAGTGAAGAGAAGAGAAAGAAAAGGTGTATCAGTCTATATGCAACAGATAGTGATGGGGGTAATGTAACTCAAAACAAAGGGGTATGTATGCATATGTATGTCTATAGTGATCGACCGGTCAAGACATGACTGGCAGATTTGAATGCCAACAGGGAACAGCAAGGTGAGAAATACACATCCTACTCAGCCTGCTTCGACGCCTTGGTCCTCAACTTCATCAGCCCATACACCAAGGCATACGAACTAATAGCGAACAAAGCGACGATTGCGGCATCTCTCCACCCGTAGTAATAATCCTTCAGGTTGATGGTATACAGGTAATCGCTTCCGCGGCTGTATTCGCAGACGTGGCAATCGGTCGTGGCGTCGGGGTTGATGAGGTTCATGCGCGCGCCGGCACCCATCATGTAATCCTGCAGGTACTGGGCACAGGTCGAGCCGTTGGGGGGATCGAAGATGGCAAATTCAGATTCCTTGCAGCGGACGGGGGTGTCAAAGGTGGTGAAGACTAGAAGACTGCCCATGAGGTAGTTGAAGGGGTCGAGGTAGTAGATCCAGTAGCGCCAGAATTCTTGAATCTGGGTGTAGGGGACCAAGACACCGCAGAAGGAGGCGAGGGTTCCGATGATTACTGGGTTAATGAGTGAGGCGAAGATGGCGTTGGGGGCGTAGGCGGAGACGAATTGGCCAATACCGGTGTAGACGAACTCGTACATCAGCATGACAAAGAAGACAGCACCGGATTTGTTGCTGTCTGATGGGAAGCCCACGGTGTAGTACCAGCAGGCGAAGTAGAGGACAGCGCAGATGCAGAGATAGGGGATTTCGGAGACGATAAGACCGGTCACGAAGGCGATCCAGGAGTACATTTTCGATTTCTTCTCACGAGCGTCGTAGATGTCGCGACGTTCGAGGAAGAGCGGCTGCAGCTGGTTGATGACACCCGGGGCGACGAAAATGAAGTTGAAGATGGTGAAGAGACGGAGTTGGAGGGCGCCGACGTGATTACCAATCATCCAGAAGGAGAAACCGTTGAAGAGGGCCGAGCCGACGTGGAGAGCCAGCTTGTTGTTCACGTAGTCAGTGTTGCGGTAAACTGCGACGCAGGAGCGCTTGGTCACGATGAGGGTTTGCTGCCAGAGGGGCATGGCGAATTCGTTGCCGTCATCGACGGTGCCGGGGGGCTTGGAGGCGGCCTCATCGACGATAGAGTCAAGTTCTTTCAGGGAGTTGGTGTGCTCGGGGGAGTCCTTCCAAACTTGGTGCCAGTCGCGACCTTGGGAGAGCGCGCCAGAGACAACGTCAATCATGTGCTCGGCTGGGTTGGCCTCTGCGGGACAGGGGGCGCCGTAGCGAGCGAAGTAGTTTTTGACGGTTTGGCCGTTGTCACCAATATCACCGAAGTAGACCATCTTACCACCCTTGGCGAGGAGAAGCAGGGTGTCGAATTCAGCAAAGAGCTGCGCGGAGGGCTGGTGGATAGTAACGAGAACAGCTTGGCCGACGTCGGCGAGCTTACGTAGGAAACGGACGGTGTTGTATGCGGATTGACCATCAAGACCGGAGGTGGGTTCGTCCAGGAAGATGAGGATGCTGGGCTTCGAGACCAACTCGACACCGATAGTGACACGCTTGCGTTGTTCAACGCTCAGTCCGTTTCCGACACGCCCAATGAGGGTATCGGCGATATCATGCAGTTCCAGAAGTTCAATAATAGTGTCAACGTACTTCAGCTTCTCCTCAGAGGGCACATGGCGTGGCTGGCGGAGCAGGGCAGAGAATTCCAATGCCTCACGGACAGTGGCAAAAGGTTCATGGACGTCAAGCTGTTCACAGTAACCGGCAGAGCGCTGGAAGGAGACGGGCAGAGGACGACCGTCGACAAGGACGGAGCCGTGGATGGTGCCTTCGGTCTTACGCTGAGCCAACACGTCCAGAAGAGTGGTTTTACCAGCACCGGAGGAACCCATCAAGGCACCCAGCATGCCAGGCTTCACCCATCCGTATACCTTATCGAGGAGCACGCGATCGCCAGTAGGGGTCTTGACCGTGTAGGTGAGATCCTTCCAGGTGAAAACGGAGGTGTTTCGGACGAGCTGCTTGTCAAGATCGCTTTCACTCTGGCAGTTGTCACCATGAGGCTTCTTGGCTTTCTCGTCAACCTGAGATTCCTCGTCGGGGCGGGCAACTTGGCGATGGGCATCGACTCTTTCGCGGGGGATGAGAAGGGAGGAGCCGCTCTCACCGGGGGACTTCCAGCGGGACGTCGCGATGATGGTGGCAACAGCAAAGAGCGCCCACCAAGCCCAGAGGATACCAAAGTTGCGCCAGACATGGGAGTGGCTGTAAGACAGGGAAGCCAGGTATTGTTCACCGGTGACATAGGTGCTTCCGGGGATGGCGCCACCGACACCGGCGCACGATTGATGTCCATCTCCATTGTAGCCCTCTCCACTGGGAATGAGGTTCGTTCCGACACAAGGAATGATCTTGCCGTGAAACTCGTTGGACAAGAGCGCATCGAAACCGTAGGCTAAAGGGTTGATCCAGTAAATCCAGCCGAACCAAGGGTGCATCTGGGGCTTTTTGATCATGTAACCGGTGTACATGATGAGAGCAGAGATGAGGAAACCAGAGACCTTGGAGGCGCCATCGAACGTGCTGAAAAGGGCGCCGACCGCGCGGAACAGTGCTGTCATGACCTAAGCGACGTGTCAGTACAATTTTGGTCAACAAGCAGTATTTCGCGTCGACTCACCATAGTTGCAGTGAAAACAAGGATCCAATAGGTGAAGAAAGCGCTGGCGGACATGGTGAGGCCAACCATGAAGTAGACCACGAGGGAGAACACGCTGACTTGAAACAAAAGAACCGGGATATCAGCAGTAATCTGAGCGATACAAAAGGCGGCAGGGTGGAAGTATGCGAAGCTTTTGTGTTTGATCAGAACCGGGCGACCACTGAAAGAGTCGGTGACTTCGGACATGGCCAAAAGACTGTTATAGAGCAGGGAAAAGAACAGAGCACCGGACTTGACGAACAAACCACCCGAGTTATTAGGGGCATTGTAGAACAGTGAACCAGCAATCAACGCTTGCACCAAGGTAGAGACCTGCTTGATGAAGAAGGTGGCTTTGTCACCCCAGATGATTTGGTATTGGCGGGCAATGCAGGTCTTGACCTGGTCGACAAAGTCAACCGTCAAGGGACTTGTCTTGGGAAGTTTCTTGTTCTTCTCTTGCGCGACGGATTCCTTGAAATCGGCAGTGCGCTGGCGTGCCAGGTCGGAGTCGGGGTAGTCATATTCGGAGGTCATCTGCGTATAAATAGGCGACTTCTGGTATTCGGCAAGAATCATGTCCGCGTTGCGAGGGAAGCGATTCTCGTAGCCCGGTCTGATGATGCGTTCGGTGGGGACCGTGACACCGGTAAGGTAATCGGCGACATTGGAGCCCTCGCGGCAAACGAAGCCCAGATCCTCCATGAAGGGACGCGCCTGGGCCATGGGGCCGTAGTAGATTTCCTTGCCTTCATCCAACACGAGCACCTTGTCGAACAGGTCGTAGATACCGTTTCCCGCCTGGTAGAGGGTGACAATGGAAGACAGACCCAAGACATCCGTCATGGCACGAACAGCTTTGGTCCATTCGAGAGCCGTGCTGGCATCCAAACCACGCGTACTGTTATCCCAGCAGAAAACGGAACCACGAGTCGCAAGGCACTCGATGATGGAGACACGCTTCCGCTCACCACCGGAGACACCACGTACGTATTCATTGCCCACCTTGGTATCGTTCGTATGCGAGATGCCCATGGATTCGAGGAGGAACTTCTTGGCTTCTTGGCGGTAAGCTTCGGGGGACTCGACGCCGTTCGGCAGAGTGAAGGGGACCTTGAGACGAGTCGCGAAATCCATCGTCTGACCCACCGTCAAGGTGGGGAAGAAGATTTCCTCCTCAGTGTTCATGACGATCTGGCCGCGGTACTGGGCCACCTCGTCCGATGTCAACGAACCATAGCGAACATCACCTTCAATTGACCTGTAACCGAGGCGACGATTGGACAGCATCTTCAACAGGGTGGTGCAACCGGAGCCGGGCCGACCCAGAACCAAAAGCATCTCTCCGGGCTTGACACAGCCATGGCTGTTGGAGAGGATGGAACGCAACGGCGGCTTGTTCTTGGACTCTTTGATGTGCTGAGGGATGTTGAATTGGGACAGGAAATTCTCGTTGACGGCGGCCTCGGCGCTGACGACTTCGACGGAGAGGTTCTTCCAGGTGACACCGAGTTCCTTGCGTTTGAAGCCGGATTGCATGTCCCGCTCATTCTGCTGCTTAACCTGGGACATCAAGGCCCAGCCTTCGGCCCGACTGGCACCGGGGTTGCGAGGGGTGACGGTGGGATCTTCATCGAGGACGGTAGCGGTGCTGTCGGTATCATCTCTGCCTTCGGGGGCCCCGAGGGTGTAGGCGATCTTCTCCTGATCCTCCGCCATGGTGGGATTGGGATAATGGGTGACTTGACGATACTGTGAAAGTCAAGGGTCACCCTGTTGATCGGGAGTAGGGATAATCATTTCGACCGGGGGCCCTTTGGGGGTGCGAGAAGCTCATATACTCCTCCCATCCAACTCGGGGGGGAGCCGGTGGGGGGGGGTCCAAAAAACTTCCCTCAGGGAATCGGGATCCAGGCCATCTCCGAGATCCACCGGACATTTCGGGAGCGTGAAAAGCTCCGCTGAGTCAGGAGGATTTCGACACATCAGGCAGAGCAGGGACCGAGGTACGTAAGGAAAGGCGATTAGGTGGACTAGTGGAATGTAAGAGATAGTTCGCGGCCTGCCATTATGGGGCCTGGGGATTGGTTCCGTGGCTTCTGCAAGCAGAATTTGTTTTCTTTTTGTCCCTTAGAATCGTAATGCGGGCCACTTCCGCTGATTTTTCCTCTTTCGTGCAAGATTAGTGGGTCTTTCGGGAAAATCCACGGCCATGAGTGGCTCCCTGTCAATCTCTGCGACTACTAATCAGACTAATCAGGCCCGACTTTATCAGGTCGGCGCCATCCAAGCGCCGAATTTCCGCTCGGCGGGATTCTCTCTCTTCCTTTTTTTCCTCTGAGTCAGCGGATGAACCCCTACTGCATGCATTCCTATTGGTGCATTGCTTCACAGTCACTCTCGTCCCTCCGATGACTCAGCGGAACAGTGCGGCTCTCCTAACCACGATCCCCTGTCGTTTCGGCCTTTGGACTTTCTCATATCATGGATCCTAGTGGCGCCTGCGATCCATTGCCTTGTTCCAGAACGTTTGGGTATGGAACCTGTCTCATCGTTCTGGCGAGCTTGGACCTTGGGAGCTTGGACCTTCAGGGTCAATGATGTGCTGCTATGGAACTGGGCTGATGGTGTTAGACAGTATGTCACCAAGCACTCATCTTGAAATCACCTCATGAACACTACGGGGTGCTGTCTACTGACACACAGATACTGGACATGATTTCTAGAGCATACATTCCGGTCTGCGAGCCCTATTGAGTACATGAGAAGTGAGCTATTTACTTCGCCTCGCTTTAAAATCTCACCGGATTATTCACATGCAGCCACGCAGCAGCCATACATGCTGTGTACATCTACCTACTTACCTCGCAACCTAACACTCTAATCTAGTCTAGTCGACTGATCACCACCTCAGTCATCCCATCAGATAAACACATCGAATCCCTGCAATGGCACATCCGATCCATCCTCAAAATAGTATACCAAGCTGTCAATCCGGGATCATCAGCCTGACACGAGCAACGCCACCAAAGTCAACCACTAACTCATTGTTCCAACCTCTAGCGCATTAATAATATTGAATCACAACCTCGCTCATGCCATCCTCCGAGATGCCGATCTGCCTCGGGATTTTCCTTTCAGCTGTCTTATCTCCGGTCACAGTTCCTTCTACCTTACTTGTGGATCTATACCTGTTTGGGTGGTGGTTACGACTTGCAGCAGGCCAGCAGCAGCAGCAGAGAGGGTGTGGTGACCCTGTCCCGGCCTGTCCCTGCTGTCCCTGCTGTCCCTCTCCTGTCCAGCTTACCGACCGGGCCGCTTCCGAGCCCGGTCAGCCTTATGTGACTGTTTACTACGGTCGCAAACCGAACCTTTGACAGCTAGTCACACGACAACTAGCTGTCATTCATGCGCAATACAAGATAAAACTTAGGAAGTTGATTATGTACATGGGAAAGAAATGGTATTCCCCTATTGCGGAATAATGTTCCACCTGGTTGGTTGCCTTAGCTGCCTTGGTGTAGTGTGAGCTTACTTATTAGGTAACCAATTCGGAGTTTCTATAGTCCCTTATGCCTCATTCGTAGGCAAGATAGAAGCTGGGCTAACTCTTGTGTTCTTGCTATGCAGTTATGTCATGATATATTCCGACTAAAATTGTTGATAGCTGTGCTTGGTACTCTGGATTTGTCATTCAATGGTGAGCCCCGACCGTGCTCACCCTTCTTCTTCAGAAATTGTTCCTGGCTGTAATAGTAAAGTGTATTTTGGTACGACACCGGCAGGCTTCGGACGGAAGATTGAACAATTCCAATTTGCTCAATATAGTCCAAATAATTATAGAATAGTAAGTTGTACTCCAGCTAGTACCACTACTTCAACCTTGAATTACTTTTTGCATGTGTAACTTTTGAAAAGGGGTAATAATTGACATTTCTCATTCACACCATAACCTTGGTCCGTTGACCACATACCACATACCAGTAGTAGTACTTATTTACAAATCCAGTTCAGTCTAGTTCAATTCCCCCAGATCGCAATCCCCCTACTGTCATCATCATAAGATCCTGCTTGACAATCCGGCGGGGGTTCTATGGGGTGGTCAGAATACAAGTCACTTCACTAGGAACTAACTCATCATGACCGTTGGGTGGGTGTTATAAAATATAGGGAGCGGGAACCATCAAGGTTCCATCCGAAAGACGAAGATAAGAACAAGGACGAAGAATGCGAGGAATAAAAAGCCGACAAAACAGAGCTCAAGCCATCTAATAATAGCTCGTGGGGCCCTGCTTTCTACCGAGAATTTGGCTGAAACAAACAGACCAGTCAGTAAACTGCTCCCTTTTTTACGTTCTGCAGTATCACTCACAGATATTGGTCCAGTTCGTCGAGATGACGACGGTGTTCGAGCATCTTCTGCCGCACCATCTGGTATGTCTCGGGCTGTTCAGGTTGCGTCGGCTGGGTCCTGACAAAGTATCGCTCGCTGGTAGCTTCACGGCGGGTGATTGGCTCTTTGCTACATGTGAATGTGACGGTTAGCTGCGGGTGTTACTGAGCTGAGGGCGGTGCTGGTGCTGTTTGCAACTGGAGGAAACAAGGGTGGATCACTATGCTCCGAAACAGTCCATGACGTCATTGCAACAGGGCCCGGCAGTGGTCCCCACGGCACTCCGAAAAGGGGAACAACAACCACCAACACAAAGGGAATACTTTGATAACAGTCAGGTTCACACTTACTCGGCCAGATATCCACGGGGCTTGGGATTGATCATTTGTCCCTCGCGTCGAGCAGGGACGGCAATCGAGAAAGATCGCATGTTGCTGGAACTGCGGACAAGGGGACGTGATATTTGGCTGAGAGGCGACATGATGACGGTATAGATCGATGGGTATCTCTTGGAGCTGATGCAAAGCACGGGAAGCCGTTGGAAGGAGTGACCGTTGCAGTAAGATCAAAATATCAGTTGGTAGACGTCTAAATGAGCAGTAGTGTTATTCAATGAGAAGAACGAGCAATGGACGATTGGGCGACTGGCTGATTATATACAACCACTTGATTGTCCCGTGAACGTCATGTGACTCGGCTCCCCTCTCAATCCGGCGATGCTGAAACCAAAGGTTCGGATTGATGCAGCAATTCAGCTTCCCATTTTCAGGCGAACCAAATTGTTTGCCCTGAGACCAATCTTCCATCTCCCATCACAACAACGGACCAGTGTCCTCCGCCACCGCCACGATCGACGAATCCCCGGATCGGCATCCTTCTCATCCCCCGGCCATGACGTCCCCGCGCCAGATAAGTGATGGTCATTGCTTTGCATCATTGGACAGGAAGAGAAAGGCCCGGGGAAGCAAGGGATGAGCACTTCCTTTCCCTTTTTCTCCCCCAGTTTACTACGATCAGTGGTGGGATTGGTGGTGCTCTGTTTATCAACCATGTGGTATGATATCATCTGCGGGGATGGACATGCCAATCTTTGCAAAGACGGTCCTATGGGTGAGCTGTGTCACTCCTGGTCGGCTGCAACTCTGCCAGGACACCTCTGCTCCGGCCAATGACAGCCCATATTGCCACGACAAATGATTGCCGGTCTCTGGCATTTCCCACGGCACCAGAACAGCCAGCTCGGGCCAACGTTCTGGCTGCTGGCACGGAAGGTATACGAAGGTAGTATGCGAATCTGCAACATCACAGCTATCTGTCCTACCCTGCCAAAAAAGGCCGCGGTGATAATCCTGCATGCCACCAACGCAATGGTACTAAATACCTCACCCAGCTTTGAATTCCTAGTTACACGTCCAAAATAAAACCGAAATGCGCTTCTCAAGCTGCTTTCCAGTGCTCAAGCTTGGTTGATGGTGAATGTGACAATCGACGTCATTTTGCTTCCGCCTCCGTCCCCTAAACAGCCACATGGTTTTGAAAGAATGGGATCCAAACTCCTGCCCGCCAGTTTGAGCGAAAAAAAGGTTCCAGAACCTCGATACCAAGGGAAGGTCATCCGAAGAGTGCGCGCGTTCTTACTTTTTCCGCTGCAGCGTATCAGGAGAATACCCAAGTTACTCAAATCGGTGCTGGCAAACTCAACTGCTAATTCCACCGATTGTATCCCTGGGTGCGTACCTTGTCAGCGTCACACTTTGCCTTCATCATTTCCTGAAGGCGAGCTTTCGTTAAAGATGATCGCGGGCGGCTAGTACCGGGGGCTCCTCGGGCGGGTCACTGCCGAGACTAGCCCATGCAAAGTAGGCAGTATGCATAGTAGAGGGGCTCTCTTCTCAGTTCTACAGTATACTACATAGTAGATATATGTACGGAGTACTTTCCAGTACTATTACGCTGACAGTTGAAATATCGCCAGCTTGAGAATACGATCATCATGCTGGGTTGCCTTCTGACTTGAGGGAAGAACCACTCCTACTAGTTAGTAAAATATATAATACTAGTACCATAGTAGTTAACAGTTATTATAATCATGCTAATCAGCACCGACTCCACATCATCAGAATACTTAGTACATTTGAACAAGCTAGATAGTAGCACTACTAGGTAAGTAGTAATCAATAAGAACAATCTTATTGATCGTTTCCTCCATAAGAGCTTCCATGCATCATCTTCTATCATTAACAGCAATACTCATCGTAAACTGCCAGTCAGCAGACTTCAATCGATACCAGTCTTTCTACAATCGTGGCATAGAGACAACTACGGAATTAATTCTACAGACTTCATAGTTGGTCAAATCTGTGATGAAGCGAACTCAAACATCTGGGGTGTGTATGTGTCTGGGTAACACTGTACAACTAGTTATGAAGGGTTGTGCATGTATATGTGCATTATTAGTCATATATGCCGTTATTTTTACTTTTCATAACTAGTTATCAATTAAGTGTGCTGTGCGGAGTACAATCTCTCGTTCTCACACATGAGTGTATACTGCACTGACACTATCTGTTGAAACTGCAGCCAATTTGACTTGGTTGCTATGAGCAATTCCTTCCAAATATTCATGTAATTAATCATCAAAGGCTGAGACACGCATGCTGTATAGTTACCGGTCAGGTAATTAATACACTATGTACCCTGCCTGCCAGGCTGGTAGCAAGGGATGAAACCAAATTACCCATAATTATCTCACCATGTACCCCCTAACTACCCTCACACCTCACATCCTCCCTCAGACACGAGCACAACTTCTCAACCAGCAACTTGACCATCCACAAAATTTCCTTATCTCTATCCGTCGCGGACTGATTCACAGATACCACCTCTCTGATTACTTGCTGCCGATGAGTCTCAGCCCCAAACACTTCTTCTCCGTCACCCTCATCAACACTGAGGAGAGACTCAATACGTGCCCATTCACGATGTAGATCTACGTCTCTGTCGTCATCTTTGAGGATGTCCACGAGAGATTTGATCTCTTCACACAGGTGGAGTTTGTGTTGTCCTGGACGCGGTCTCTCAAGTGGCAGAGTCACTATGTCAAGAGTTGGGCAGGCCTGTCTCTCTATATCGACCTCCACATCACCACCTGCCACCCTCACATCTGCCCCTCTCCCAGCAGGAGCAGACAAATCAAGCCTCCTCCCATCCACAAACACACCTACCCGTCTCATAAATCCTCCCCAGGACCAACCCTTCCCAATTCTCCCCACAAAATAAACCACCGTATGAAACCCCACCTGACCCACGACCCCCACCAACGTCGTCATAACCGGCACCGCCAGCAGCGCCCAAAACACAAAGAACGACTTCCCCAGATTACTAGTCGGATAGAAATCCCCATACCCGATGGTGGTCAGCGACACGAACGTGAAATACAAAGACTCGAAATACGTCCATCCCTGATTGCGCTCGGAGGACTTGAAGATACGGGCGCTGACGAGCCAGAGGAGAAGCCATGCGCAGAAGTAGAAGGAGAAGATGATCCAGCGGTGGCGGCGCTGCCAATGGGATTTGATTTGTTTGATTTTGACGATGTCGGGATGTGGTGTCTTGTGGAGGTGAATACCTTCTTGTTCGAGCTCGAATTTCAGTCGTAGCTCGCCCATCTTTCTTGAGAACGAGGCAATCGAGCTGACGAATAGGCCGAGGCAGGTGATCCCCCCCGTAGCGTAGGGGATTAGAAGGCTTCGTCCCAGGTGAGTTTTCGGGACGATGTTGCCGATTCCGACTGTAAGAATGGTGTATGCAGACCAGTAGAGTGCATCTGCTAGGGACCATCCTTCGATGGGAATGTAGATGGCTGCGCCGCCGAGGAGGAAAGCAGCGAGGGTGAATGCGCGGAGGATGATGCTCGTGTTTTCGATGATGCGGCGATCTTGGATGCTTAGGTGGATGGTACGGACGCTGCATGCGTAGATTGATAAAAGAAATGCAACGAAGAGGTAGGAAGTAGCGGCGAAGATGCCGTAGTAGAAATTCTGTGTATAGTGCCATGTTTGAGGGGCGATAATTTGGGGTGGCTGATGCACGGTCACGCCGATGAGACTGAAGAGAAGCATTGAGGATATGAAGTAAATCAGTGCTGTCGCAAGGTATCCTCTCACTGCGTTCCATTTTAGCAGCATGGTCAGCAGGAGGGTAAGGTCTGCGGTAGCCGAAAGGGCCAACGATATAGTCTTGAGAGTCACGGCCCTGTTGGGTTATTAGAAGCGGTACTGGGAAACTGAAACTCAAGTATCGTAGTTTATGGAGACACACCGAGTAGTCTGCGCTGCCATCGCAGTCCCTGCATCTGAAGAAACGATTTCCTGCCAACCGTGGCTAACTGCACAAATACCGAATATTGTTGCCATGGCGCTGATGGTTCCCTGGACATCTTAGCGATTATCATCACTGATCCGGTTGAGATGGAAAAGTACCGCCAGAACGGGGAAGCTGGTAGACGCAAGCCACCATCGAGACATTCCGACCGAGTAATTCTACTTGGGCAGCAGAATAGTAGACTGTAGTGCGAAATCTGAGACGTGCTGTGGTTCGTTCTGCGTCTGAAGTCGGGATACGAGGTTGACATCACGGGGACCAACAGGTTCCCGGTGTACTCCTACTTATTCCTTTTAGAGTAGTAGTAGCTTCACTGGAAGTACACTGATCAAGAAGGTGAATGTCTTAAGCGCCATCTTCCCCTTAGTTGTACTTGCGTAATCCTATACTGATTACTCTATACACTACTGCCATTTGCATTCATTTTCGAAGCTTCAGCGTAACCCAAGTGGGGTTAAAATAAATTTTGAACAGATCAAGAGAATAATCAATTAATTGCTTGCAAAGACTTAGGTGACATATCGGAACCCCTTCTGGAGCTGGCGGGCGGCAGCGATGTCGATGCCCTCTACCTCCGCCGTCTTCTGTAGCCGACGAAGCTCCTTATCAGTCAAAACTGCGTCCTCATCCTCCAGGCGTGCCAGTCGCTTGTTTTGCGACCGCAGATGGAAGTACAGGAATGTCGCCATTATAGTGCCAAGAACTTGCATGCCAATGCACACTCCCAAAGCTGTATAGTAATACGGTGCCTCTCGTTCCAGATAGGTATACGGAGTCCAGATACTGGCCGAGTTTCCCAGCGAGTTGATAAAGGCATACGCAGCAGCTCGTTTGGCAGGAGGCCGTGGAATCGCATTCGCGATCCACGAGTATATCGTGCCGTTCTGAGCAAAGACAAAGACCATGAGGAAAAATGAGAAATACCGAGGTCCGAAGGAGTGGGTGGTCATGAAGATAATAAACCCCACGATGGTGATGGGGATGGGGCCGACAAAGAACCAGAATCGATGGGCGAAACGATCAGAGAGATAGGAGTGGAAGAGACTGTATACCACCATGAATATGTATGGCGGCGCTACCAAGAGCAGAGAGATGATATGGTTGTACCCCAGGGTCTCTGTCAGAGTTGGAAAGAAGTTCTGGAAGCCACTTGCGGCCGTGAGAGACATGTATGCAATAGCCAGGGCGTAAGTCTTGACGTCCGTGAAGGCCAGCTTCAGACCCTTGATTTGGGTCATCTTGTCGCCGTCATCGACATCCGCTTCGGCTGCCTCAATGGCCAAGCGACGATTGGCGACATGCTTCATCTCCGGCGACAACAGTTTCCAGGTATCGGGAAAGTCGGGCAGCACAGCGCAGATGGCTAGACCGATTGCGACAGTGATGGTACCCTCGATGATGTATAACCATTGCCAGGCCGACATGCCTCTCTTTCCGGCAAGACCATTAAGGATGCCCGCAGCGATCAGGTTTCCAAAGGCACCGCTGAGCAATGAGCCAGAGTAGAAGATACTCATGCGGAGGGCCAACTCTTTCTTGGTGTACCATTTGGAGAGGTAAAATAGAACACCTGCAAAGAATGGTGCCTCGACCAAGCCGAGAATAAACCGACACGCCACGATGCCACCGTAGCTTGAGACCTGGCTGGTCAAGGCCGAGACAAGGCCCCACGCTGTGGTGAAGAAGCCAAGGTATAGTGAAGGACGGCCCATGTAGTTGAGGAGCAGGTTCGATGGGACCTGCATCAGGATATAGCCCACAAATAGAATGGACAGCCCTGTCTCGTACTTGGCTTCATCGAGGGAGAGGTCCTGTTCTAATCCTTGAAGCTTTGCAGCGGCGTAATTATTCCTATCAAGAAAGACGTCAGCACATCGCAACTCAAAACAATCCGATGCCAGGAATCTGTGAGACGTACCGGTCGATGTAATTCATCAGATAAACAAGGATTACCAACGGCATGATGAGGGTGTCAATCCGCCGCCGCAATTGCCTCTCCAGAATCTTTTCCTCCGGCGTCAACTGCGCCAAATGGACGACCTCCTCATGAGAGATCTCAGCCTTTTCGCCCATGGCGTCATGATCGGTGATGACTCCTTCCGCCATGATGATACTTCTGGGAGGCGAGTCAAGATGCAGGGAGTGACAGTGTGCACGGACAATGCTGTTGCGACTCCATCATAGAAGGAGGGAAAGCTTCAGCTATATATGTCCCATGAAAAGGGAAGAAGCTTGATGCTTGGTATAAGGTGAATGAGCTCTAGGAAACAACATGAGAAGGGCCAAACTACCTGCAAATCCGGGGGAGGGGCAAAGCGTGGGGGAAACTTTCCACCCAGCTTTCGCCATCCAGACTCCTGGTTGGATGCACAAATATGCCGGGGGAGCATCACAAATGCGGGGAAGACAGTTAACATTCGAACCAGAAGCTGCTCGGCTGATTCTCACCCCCACGCCGCTAGCCACCTCCCGTGCTATTCTTCTTCATCCATCGTGCGACAGAAGCTCTCCTGTCGGACATCGTCCGGGGAAGTGGAGTCGATCGACTCGTTGGTGTCTCTCGGGCCTCCCCTGACGCTTCGTATCTTTGTTCCTATAACTCGGGTGGGGATGGGTCTGGGGAAAGTTTGTTTGAAATCCCCGCCTTCAGCAGCGAATCGACGTATACTTGGCAGCTCCCAATGTTGTTGGGATCCACTGTCCATGGTTCCATCATCGGGGGGAAGTAGTCTGTTTCGCAACTTGCATCCTTGCTGTACACAAGTCCGCTCGTGGAGACATGCATTTCTGGTCATTCGGGCAAAAACTGTTGAGCTCCCGTGTTTGTTCACCTCAGGGAAGGCGAGGATTGGCTCGCAGAATATCCGTGCAGCTCCACGTTCTGGGGTAATGTCGGTGATCTTCCGGCCAGCAGGTCAGCTCGAATCTCTTGATGTCGTCACACTCTGCAAGTTACATCCGTCCCGTCTCCCCGTCGGCATTTCTTCCTACATAGTAGTAGTCAGTGACATGCCGATTCCACGCAGCTGACTCGAAAATTTCATCGCACGGAGAAGCCGAGGAGAGGTCAACTTCTGCTAACTGGCTTGGCCTTGAGGGGCTCATGTGATTGTCAGTCAGGTGATCTAAGCACGTGTTGACGAAGGATTCCTGGCGGTACTCAACACTAGTAATACTACCTGTGATTTTCCAGACCAGTTGACCCTGAATACTTACTAGTTGCAGCAAGCTGAACTTTTGCCTTCGCAGTACACTTGTACTATGAAGTTCCTCGTTGCCTCCTTTTTCCCTCTTGTTTTGGGGGGCGCTATAAGTAGTTCACGAAATATATATCCGACTACAAATGGTAGTAGTTCTCAACATCATTTATGTTTCATGAAGACGGGACCGTTTTTACTTACAATTGTAACTGAATTTCAATTTCTGAATCCCCCATACTACAATATCCATCTAATAAGTGAGATAATCACCGGATCAATCATCATTTTTCTCCTTGCCACTGCTACTATTTAATGCTCCTCGGATGACGCTAACCAGCACCCGCCAATCGGCCTGATTGGTGCCTCAGGCTGGATACTATTTCCGTTCAGAATCATCCACTAAATCTCTCCTTTCCCCAAATATCAATTGGTTGGTAACGAATGAGATCGATTGGCCTTCGTTCCGTTTTTCTTCTTTCGCCTGGATTTTCCGTGGCAATTCTGGAAGCTCTCTATTCGCGCTATGCCCGACTTACAGAGGGTCCCAATGGTGATCCCAGGAAGAGCGCTTGAAGGGGAATAACTAGTAGTCCTCCACCGAACCCACTTCTGCGGCCGCCATCGCCTCCAGCGCAACTTGTTATTGGTCTTCTCAAGCCACAACTAGCAACGGTTGTCGCGGGGCTCGGCGTAAGCGAAGGTGGGAATTTCGGAGGAATTCGGTCATGTCTGCTCAGATCTTGCTGGTTGTGATCTCGCCGTTCTGTTGGCCCCATTTCCGCTCAAGTTCGACGTTGACCTTCCCCTATTGTGACCTCGTGGCCTGGTACGACTGGAGCTCGTCGTCTAAGCTTGCCGCACATGGCCACCCACGATTCGCAGCCAGTCTTGGTCTCCGATCACATCCGCAGTAAGCCCGCCCTTACGTCGGGTCAATTGACCCGTCAATTGCGATCCTGCAAGGCCTGCCGGTTCCGGAAAGTCAAGGTGCGTCCCGACCCGATACTAAGGTGTGGGCATGGGTCTCCGTGATGGGGGAATAAAACAATACAGTTGTTCAGACGAATAGGATGATGGAGGAAAACAAGAGTATGGAGCGAAATGCGCTGCTAGTTGGGTGGGAGGAGGCCCGTGCAACGCACTTTGCTGGCTTACCTGCATGTGTGTAATCCGACCTAATTGACGATCGTGAGAGACAGTGTGATCGAGTTAAACCCTGTCATGCATGCTGTGCGCATGGCTACCCGTCAAAATGCCACTACGATACCAGTCCCGAAGATGTCCTGCAACCCATCAGTCAAGCCGATGAGATCCGTAATCTCCGAGAGGAAATCCGGGAGCTAACAGCCAGCCTTCATAACTGTGGTGCGTGCCCCAATCTGGAGCCCGGGATCGTCTCGGTGGCTTTGGAGCTGCCTCTGCAGTGGAAACCATTGACATTGGCGTTCTAGAACACCGGATCAAGACTTCACGGCGACGAGCCCAGCTACAAGGCCTCGTCAATGCTATCCGCTCAGCCCCGCCAAATACCGTCAATCGGCTCGTCGCCCAAATCCGAAAGCCTCGCGGGGAAACAAACGAAGTGGCAATCGCGGTGGGACCCTTGAATGAATTGGAAGGTGGGTGTCCCTCGCATCCTGGTGGGGTACAGACTATTGATTTGGGGGCTAAACGGTGTCATGTTCCACAGCAGAACATGGCCCTGTCGTTCTTCGTCGGTCCCATTCATACGATAGCGATGACGATTCTCTCGATTCGGAAGACGAGGTATTTTCGCTCTCTGGCCGTAATAGCGATAGTCGGTCTTCATCAGAAGAGAGCGATGACTCAAGCTATGATCCGATAAGTCACATTGGATCGTGGAAGCCGATGCTGGATGTGTTTATTGAACGCTTCGTGGATGCTTTTAGTCCGGTAGTCCAATCCAAGACAGGACAGGCTGGTGCATTACGACGGGCTGCTGAGATACGCATGTTCTCGCCGATTCTCATGGATGCGTTCGAATCCGTCTCCATAGCATACTTTGGGCGGTCCGTTCAGGATAAGAATCTCGAAGCAGCTGGCTTCCGCCTATACCCCCGTGTGCTGCGGAGTTTGCAGCAGGCGTTGCAAGATCCCCAGCGCAGCAAGGCTGAGTCGACTCTAGTGACGGTCACCCTCTTAATGGCTTTTGAGGTATAAGTCTCGATCTTCAATTCTAGGAAACGTTCTGACTGCTTGTAGAGTGTGGAACGAACTACACAAGTGTCGCTGATTGCTCATGTCCACGGTGCACTGCGACTGATTGAGCATCGAGGACCAGAGAATCACATACATGGTGTGGAGCATTTGCTGTATACCGAGCTGCGTCCTTATTGGGTACGTATCCATTTTAGTTTCCATAAGATCCATTTGCTGAGATAGAAGCAGGTCGCTGCGGCCATTGTCAGTCGAACTCCCTCCGCCCTCGCAAGTGCAGACTGGATCAACCTGCCTTGGTCAGCTAACCCTGACCGAAGAGACATCCTGCATTACTTGCTAGACCTGGCGGTTGAGATTCCTGCTCTGCTTTGGCAATTCGATGACATCGAGGCTACCCTCAAATCGAACATGTACAGTGCACATGAGATTAGCATGAAGCAAGCCTCACTGTGGAGCGGTGTCGCTGACCTAACAAACCGCTTCCGCCAATGGAAAGTTCAATGGGTTGATAACAACCCGGACGGGCCACCCCAAGAAGTGGAAGTCTCACCGGACGACCCATTCCCTCGATTCCATTGCCGGGACTTTCGCACCGGAGGTATAATCACACCTCCAATGTTTGTCTATCGGGACCTCCGGCTCGCACAAACCATGTGTCTTTATTACTCTACGCGATTAATTCTCTCGTCCGCTGACACGCGACCAACGGATCGCGTTGGACCTTTGGAACAATACTCCTTGGGTTGTGGCATCTGCCGCTCCTTGGAATGGTACATAGTCAATGCCCCAGGAAACATGATTAACCGACTTGCGTTTCCGGTCAGGGTGGCCTGGGAGGTGTTCCCGGATGGAGGACCGGAACGGCAGTTCATGTACGAGGTGTTGAAACTGGTTGAGAAGCGACATGCCCTAGGCCTGTGGGGGAGCAACATGTCCGAGATTTCTCCTCGGGCCGGACCCCCACGGAGTCAGTCCCCTGAGATGGCTACAGGAGCATGATGGATGGAAGATCAAGGTCTGTGGGTCGCTGGACGAATCTCACTGTACACATTTCACGGCCTTTTCCTGTCTCCGCGTATGCCGGTGGGTGGGACTTTTGTGGCAGCTGATATATAGCGCAGCTCCATTCAGAGAGTTTGCCATATCGGCTTCGCCTTCCCTGCTGAGAGTACCGTCCTAATTGATCTTAAGGTATCTACGGGAAAGGCTTTCAAACAGCACGCAAGGCTTTCGTCGATGAATGCCGGGTCAATTACCCGTAGGGGATGACTCCATATACGCATGGAGACTTAAGGAACACTGGACTTATTACTGGCTCCATATATGCCTCGGCATACCCTCGGAGTCTGTTCCATATTGATGGTGGAGATATCAAGTCAATAAATACCGGACAGGATTGGAATCATGTCATTGACTTAGGACCGTCAACCAAAATGCTACTAGCTTAGAGCCTAACTAGCACCAAAGCCAAGTCCATTAAAATGGCAGGTCTAGGCCAACCCAGGAAACACTTCCTCGATTGGTCGAGACAATTATTATTGCGTATACCCAGTCCCTGATGGCGGATACTTGTGTAGTAAGCGGCATCTATTTTGCCGGAGTTGACCGGGCCCATAGTAACAGGGGCTCAGGGGTGTGTGGATATCCATCGGATCATGGGTTGATTCCTATAGGGCTGCGGACATGATAGATGGGGATGGGGATGGATGGTCTCGCAACTGGAGTAGGCCCGCGCTAGTTCTCCCGAAGACAGAGAAACGAACGAGGCCCAACGATCGTCAAGTCATCGCTAGAGTGCAAAATGTGCACTGGAAGGTTAACATCCGAGCCCTGACGCGTTCAACCCAGCAGAGTTGAAAAGAAATTGTGGCGAGCACGGTTCAAGGGCGGCATTATTTAACGTTTCAACTTAAAACAAGCTTGACTGTCGACTCCGCTCCCTGGTGGATCCACCATTGCTCCTGAGACAATCTTCGCGCCAGAACGGATTTGAACTCTTCCTGACCCCAAGTTGGAGATGGCCTCCATCAGGCCTCGAGGCCTTTATAATTGGGCCCGCGGCATCTTGGAGACCAAATTGGTTCATCGCTTCATCCTTTCTACACTCATTCATTTTTTTTTTTTTGCATTGTCACTCTTTTCTCTGCGACCGGCTCGCTTCCAATTCTACGTTCTTTAAGAATTCCTTCGTATCGATCAGCATGCGCTACTCCTCCGTCGCCGTCCCTCTGGCCTTTGCTGCCCGTGCCGCTGCCGTCACCAGTGATGCCTGGGCCTTCGGGAACGGGTTCTACACCGGTCCCCCCACGAACGCGCACATCACCAGGGCCACCTGGTCCTTGGTGCCTCCCGATGTTCCCTCGAACGTCACTGTGAAGAACTCCGACGACGAGGTCTGGGTGTCGCTGTGGATTGGCCTGTCCTCTACTGCGGGTGACTACGACGCCGATCTCTACCAGCCCCTGCTGAACTGGTCTCCCGACAACGAGTCCCAGTACGTTCATCAACTCCTTAGTGACTTAGGAAGACTATGCTAATGATCAAAGGGGATGCCCCGCCCCGGATGACGAGTGGTGTGTCGCTGCGAGCACGTACACTCCTGGTTAGTGAACTAGGTCAAATGTCCCGGTTCCATATACTAATGCTGTGTCTAGACGGCCAGAATGGCCAGGCCTACGTGACTGTCCCCTCGGACACCCAGGTGGACTTTGAGGGTATGTTCAAACACCAGGTCAAACAACAGTGTGAGCCATTGTCCTAACACTGACTACAAACAGTCTACGTCGAAAACAACAAGGTGTACCAGGTCGTCACCATGAACGGCAAGACCGTCTCCAAGGAGAGCGACGGTCCGTTGTTCCCAGTACCATCCTCAACTTGTTTAACATCATACTAACTGCCAATAATCCAGCCCTCGACAACCCCCTCCTCTACCTCTACTCCGGAGACGAGTGCTACACCGGCTCCGGTGACTGCGGTACTCTCCAATCCTACAGTACGGCTACTTCTCTCACCCCCTGCACCCTTCTACATCAGCGGATACCTGACCTAATATGGAATTAAATAGGCTGGAACAACATCACCATCCACCTCAGCGCTGCCGACGAGAACTTCGGTGACACTCTCTCCCTGTATAGCGGCTCTGCCTCTAACGGCCTCACCACCTCCGACAAGGGCAAGACCTGGCACACCGATGCTATCAAGATCTCCAAGGACACTTTTGCCAATGTTGAGGCTTAAACTGTGGGGTTTTTTCTTTGAGATATATTGAAGCTGGTTGAGATGTACGTAATTGGGTAATTTGTGGCTGCTAGTCAGTTGCATTTCATTCTATTCTCTTCTTCCTCATGGGAAGGATGTATAAAATATAAGATCTAGTTACACATGTAACATCGACATCATCTTGGTTTCAGATGTAATAAACTGACAACAAAAATCTGATATTCTATAAGCTACTAGTATATATCAATCAGCCTTCCTGGCTAGGGAGATTTTCGTCAGGGTGCCGGAATACACGGCATCTTCGGGTTTCTCTTTGCCGTTTGCCGGTCGGGTAGTTTGGGGAATTTCCCGGAGGTATGGTGTAAACAATCGTGACGTGGACATTGTGCGCATAGTATAGTCTACGACTTAGCTGAGGTGTGGACACATGATAGGAAATAAGTTGGGAAGTAAGGAAATGTATGTAGGTAGATTGATATTGTCTATCATAATGCCGCTTTATAGTAGTCCTATGGGCAACAGCACTCAAATGTTGGATCTTTGATCCTGGTATGTACATTATTCTCACTTCGCTGATATGTCTCTGTCAATCAATACTCAAGAGTCTGCTTGATCGCATCGTATATCCCTGGATATCGTTAGCATATTTCAGGCGTGTATAGGATAGATATACGTACTCGCAACATCCGGAATCACAAACTTCTCATACATCAGTCCGGTATGCGTACTCCATCCCGCGACTCTCTTGACCGGTGCCTCTAGACGCAAGAACGCTCCATCTTGTATGGTAGCAGCCACCTCGGCGCCGACTCCGTAGTTGATCATGCTCTCATGGACGACGATCGCCCGTCCCGTCTTCTTCACACTATCCAATACCGTAGGTCTGTCCCACGGGTAGATCGTGCGCAGATCGATCAGCTCGATACTCGCCCCGAATGCCCTCTCGGCTGCTTCGATGGCCGCGGAGCAGAGGTATAGTGGCTGTCCGTACGAGACTATCGTCAGGTCGTTCCCTGGCTTAATAACCTCCGCCGTGTTCAATGGGATGGTGTAGTACTCGCTCGGGACGTGTTCTACCGCGGCACGATAGAGGATTTTCGGTTCCATGAAGATGACGGGATTCTGAGACTCAAAGATCGAGGACAAGAGCAGGCCTTTAGCTTGGGATGGGGAGCGAGGCATGACGACTTGTACGCCAGGAACATGTGCGAACAGTGCTTCTGGTGATTGGGAGTGGTACCTAGTTTGTAGTCCACAGCGTTAGCCATCTTCTTCCCCTACTCAGCAAACAGGAACATGGTATGCCACCCACAAAGCACCATGTCCGACCGCACCACACGGCATCCGCACCACCATCCCCCCAATATCCACACCGGTTGCTCCCTCCCGGAACCGGAATTTCGCCGCCTCGTTCACGATCTGATCGAACGCTGGGAACACGTAGTCTGCGAATTGAATCTCCGCAACAGGCTTCATTCCCTGGGCCGCTGCACCGATTGCAAAGCCGACGATCCCTTGCTCTGTTAGGGGTGTGTTGAAGACCCGTTCAGAACCGAATTCGGTTTGTAGATCCATCGAGCAGCGGAAGACGCCGCCAAAAGCGACATCTTCGCCGAAGAGCATCACCTTGTTGGAGGTGGAGAGGGCGGTGCGTAATGCGGAGTTGATGGCTTGGTAGAAGTTGATGGATTTGGAGGTCGCATTGCTAGGGAGGTCTGGGTGGTTTGAGAGGCTGGAGGCCGTGTGGTGGAGGAGCGGTGTCGATCTGTAGTCGATGGGGAGGTTCAGGCGTGAGGAAGGGGATGGTGCGGAGGTGGAGTAGCCCCGGTAGGAGGGCCGGGGTATTGGTAGTTTGGGAAGACGGAGTGAAGGCATCGTGGAGGACTCTGAAGGGATTCGGAGGCTCAGCTAGTAGAATGAGAACGCCTGGAGGACGAGGGAGGTACGGGGAAATCCTCCCTCCCCCTTGGTTTATCAATGAAGGCATCTTGCTTCATGCGGGGAATGCGCCCCGATCCCCGTGGATAACCGGGGTTGGCGGCCTGGGTGCCTTGGTGCCTGTGTGCCTACCGGGGAGGCTGAGTCAGCTTGATCCGATTCAGGACTAGCACGATTAGTTGCCTAACTGGGACAGCCAGGTGAATTTATACTCTCGTTCTGCATAAGACTTACCAACTTTCCTCCCTCTCATGCGTGCTTCATTTTCATCACGTTTAGCGCTTTTCATCCCACTCTTGATATCCCCTTAGCTAATGTTCTGCCATCCACACGGACCGCTCGCCAGATGCCAGCAGCTGACCGTCAACATTTGGAAGGCCGACATTGACAATTCCGACTCTGCTGTGAGTGTCCCAGGCGCAGCGGTATCCACTTCATCATTATAGGGATAAAGAAGACTCATTCTATGTGTCCTCTTAGATGGGTCTTCTGTCCTACACCCATCGATAAACACGTGAACATTTGCAATAAGCCAGTAATGCATCCAATGACATTTTGGAATGAGGGTATCATATGTACAGGTTGAGACAGATATATACAAACGGAGCGGCCTGCCACATCCGATCCGCAAAAGACCTCAAACGGAACCATCGCTGTCGCTGAAGGCAACCAATTGGTACTCGCTGGACCGTGAGCGACACCGACGGAAATAACGGCCCCAGCCGCAGCACGTATAGAGACCAACAAACAAACCAACTCCACTGATGACAAATGCCATGACAATAACCCAGTACTGAGGGTTCATGACCTGCTCAAAGCTCCCACCTTGCTCTCGCTGGAGTAGCTCGGTGGCGCCTAGAACATTCCCATCCGAATCCAGCGCTGCCAGTCGGAACAAAGGAAGCTCAAGACCCTCGGGAATCTCTATCTCCGTCTCGAAGCCATCTTTCTGGAATTGGGACACAACACGAAACGTATTGTCATTCAAGTCATCTGAGTCCCAAACATCCAGTCTCCACGCAACAACCTCTGTTGCGCCGTTCCAGCTCACATACACGTGATTTCCTAATACTTCGGCGTCGGGGACCGTCTGCGGTCGGCCAACCCAGGTGCCCTTGAAGGCACGGTAAGATACTACTCTGCCAAACCCAAAGAAGGCAGAGGCACCGAAATGAGTGTTGCATAGCAATTGCCCGTCGGCACTAAACTCGCTGAAAGCTGCGCTGTGGCCCCACTCGACGAGAACTCGGCCACTATCGTCCAGAACTTGGACGTTTCCCTGGGACAAGGACCGCATTTGCTGAGGATGATAGTACTCAGCGCGCAATGACGCTTGGCGAGCGGTAACGTCAAGATCGATAACCACTCCACGACTTTCGTTATCCGGATCATCGTTTGAATGTGATGCATTGTCAAAAAGAGTCAAGGTATTGTTGGCGTGCCACCGTGCATCATGCTGCCAGGCGAAATTGGTGGCCTGCCCATCTGAAAGATCGTGGAACTCATTCAACTTGCCGCCCAGGGTCCATAACACTTCACCAGTGTCCTTGTCTATGCAGCTCACGGTATGGGTATGGCGTGCGGAAACAATATAGTTCCCATTGTCATCCTTGTCCACACTGTTGATGTGGTAGAAGTCAAACGCATACCCGCGCACTCTTCCCGACTTGCCTAAGTGTTCGTACGTGCTGTTAATGGAATAATGCTTTGACGCGCGCCATTCGAAGATCAGCTCGCCCGTAGCGATATCAATTTCCTGGAAGACGCCATCATATACCCAGCCCAGTTCGGGGCCTCCAACGGGAGTGAGGTCGGCCGGCACTGGATCGTATATCGTAACGAGAGCCGTTCCTTCGGGGGTGATGGTAAATTCGTGGAGATCACCACCATAATTCCCTACTGGGGAAATCACATATCGCTGGGTATATGTCGAATCCAGCTGTCTAGATCAGCACGCTACACCATACGACAGGGTTGTGTACCACCTACCATATACCATGCCCCATAGCCCCGACCTTCAGTTTCACCACCTTCCCAGTATGTCAGATAGTCTGTGTCCTGATATCGCTGGACCTTGAAGTCCTGAGTCACGTCCCAGTTGTATTTCATCCACACCAGCTCCCCCTTGGAATCAAGGATCATAGGCCCCGGCTGGGCCACTGAGTCACCCCTAGGGGCTAGAAAGGTATATCGCGAGTCGCAGCCCGACTCCCATTCCGAGATCTGTACCGCGGGAGATTCATAATCGAAGGAAACATAACTTTTCGACGGACCGAAACCGTACAGGCCCAGGTCATACCAACTCAGATCCGCGCGAAGCCTTAGTCGATTCAGCTGGGGAACGGCGAAGGTGTAGAAGAGATAGGAGAGACTGATTATGGCGCCAACCGTAACGACATGGAGGGCGGAGAGCCTTGAACGCAGGCGATTGGCGCGAGAGAGGGCAGAAGTCCACGAGGACATTGGATCATCGCGGATGGACAGAGCGACGAGAGCTGTCCAGGGGAGGGAGGAAAGGAGACAAAGTTTCGGATCTGGGGTAAGGCGGAACAAAAGGAACTATCTGGGAAGATAGTCTTCTCGGGAGCGACGGCAGGGCGGAGAGTCGGCACTCATCATATCATCGAATTTTGCCTCGAGGCAGGCGGAGCACCAGCGAGAATAAGAATGTCGCATACGGTCGGGTTAGTCGTTCAGGAGAGGGTGGCTCCAACAGCTTCAACCCCCGAAACGGATACCAAAGCGCCCCATCCACGCGGCGTCGAAGCGATCCATCGAAACCGATATCCATTCGCGGCGGAGACCAACGACGACGCGAACGAGTCGCAGTTGGCCGTGATTGGCCTCGATGGGAGTTCTCCAGCACCGCCAAGCAAGCCACCGTGGATCCGGACCTGAAGCTGGATCCACTGTAGAGGTTATCACTTATCCTTGTCTGTGAATTCTTCGCCTTCGCACCATTGGGGGCTTTGGGACGGTCGCTGGCAATTATCTTTTCCCCGCTTGAGTGGCGGCACCAGCCCCAGCGCTGCGAGATACTTCAATCTGTTGTTCTTGGCACAACCGCGCACGATTGTTTTATTTCCGAGATACAATTGGCCACGGTGCCTGGACTTGGTACGGAGGTTGCCCGCGTGAGGCCAAGACAACGCTTCGGCCGTGACATTTGGGAAAAGCAAGGAAACTCAAAAGTGTCTTTATCCGGGGCAATAATCTGATCTGTGGCGGATGCTATCCTGCGAATGGCCTGCTTGAGTTGTGATGACGGTCGACTGAGCGATAAGTGCCACCGCTGACAGCCACTCGGACCCGCTCGCTTCGTCATCTACCGCACTATGCGTGAAGTTTACCGTTTTCCAAGGCGGATTGGTTAGCGCCCAGTTGGCCAGGATCAATGACCACCGCGCCATTACAGAATGCATAAATTATTCCATGCGTGACACTCGATGCCTGGCTCTTATCTGAGGACGCGCACTACCACCTCAGGTGAAACAGGAGAGAACTGGACGATCACTGGCGGACTATTGATTGAGGCAACTTGAACTCCTTGCCATGCGCGTGAAACCGATTCGGCCTACCCGCTAGTCTACACTGGTTAATGATTGGCCCCTAGATTGACTGTGGGGCAGCACGCGTGATGAGGCCTCGGCAAGACGGCTTGTCCCCAATCAGATAGGGTCAGCACTTTATCGCGAATGAACGCAGAGCATCCAAATTGACGATGGTGAAGCCTGGAAGCCGTTCGTTATGGGCGGATCCTTCTGGAAGGACGTCCAATCCTCGTGGAAGCGGAGTGAGCCAACAGTCGGACAACGGAGCGCAATGATGTTTGTGGCTGCTCCGAGAATCCGGAGAAATAGTTCCTTGACTTGGAAGCTACTTTGTATAGTGTGCAAACGCGATCTGATCCTTCGTTTATCATGGCGCCCAGCTAGCAGCAGGTACACTGGCGAATGATATTATTCCAGTGCTCAACACCAAGACACCGCTCAGAGGCTAGCGATAGCAGACATGGGGTACAGGCGGGGACAAAGCCAAAGACGAGACCCAAGCACCAACAGTCAATTCCGTTTCGGCATTGATGCCATACCGGCTTCTGACCAAGTATCAACAGTGCTTTAGAGCCAACAAATCAGCATAAGGGGCTCGTTAGGCAGAAGAGATAATAATCCGGTATATCCGGAATCAAGCACAACTAGCATGGCCACTTGCACTGCCAAGATGACGCCATCGCACGAACTCAACACAGCATTTCGTGTGCAACGCATCTTCTAATTGCTTCTGAGCTTAATCTGGCCCTGGCAGCAATCGCACCCTGCTACAATGTATGATGTGTCTGAACTGCACCGTCAAATATGACTGGGTCTAATGTCAATTTGGTAATCTGCCCCGAACCCGAGAACCCGAGGTGGTTCGACCGGTGGCATGCGTGCTGTCTTCTGGTCCTGATCTGGCAATTATTTGCGATCTGTTCCTGGGGATCCCAGTACAATTTTCTCTAGGCTACTAAGGATGCTCTAACCAGTTTACAGAGCCCGAGGAATCCATCTGTCCGTTGTCGGCCGGGCTTGGCGCTTATGCTCATAGAGCGGGCCGAAGCGTGGGGGACAGAAATGCGCGCCCTGAGCGATCCGGGATGCTCCGTTAACAATTCTAGCTATTACTGAAGGCTATTTGAAAGCTATCCAGAAGCAGAGGTGCTCATCGATGGCTAACGCATACTCTCCCCGATTGCGCCGTTCTTAGATGGCCGTAATCGATGCTCATTTGATCTAATTTGCTATGCTCGTGGCAAATTTCGCAGCCCCATACTAACGAGGGAACCGGTATACATCAGGCAATGGTCCTTCGAACAGTTCTCTGTCATGAGCTTCGGTCATCCTGCGCATGTCAATATGTGCTGACTGGCTCGCTAGGAACATTGTTGAATTTCTCTGACCTCGTAGGACTCGTTGACAGAGTGCTCACATTACCGTGTAAACAGCATCTGCCAAGACCAGAATTATCCTATGTTGTGCAGCTCTTCGAACAGTATGCAGTGCTCAATGTACTGCTTGGCGCTAACCCACGAAATCAAAACTAGCGTCTAGGCGCTGACTCAGGCAGTGGAGACTTTACTGGACTAGGGAACCGTACCCGGATAGTGTGTTGGTAAAAGTAGACTTGGATTGCGTGTTATCTTTGGCCATCATGACTTATCTGGCCACTTTGGACGCAGTACGCATGGAAACCATGCTTGCCAAGATGCCAATGCAGTTGCAAAAGTGTATTGTGCCTGTTGGTCGCGTGCCATAGGGGCCGAGGTTATCCCGGAAAAATTATTGTGGGGTGCATATGCAACGGTGAGTAGAGAGCATGCAATAGGTAGAGATTTACACTCCATCTCTCTACTATGTACAGATACAGAAGTATCTAGATACGATTTATCTCGTACCCGTTCTTCCTTCCTTCTTTGGCCCAGGTGGATACTATTCCAAGTTATCTCCTGGTTACTAATTGTGGATGCGACCCCGCTAGTTGTAAGCGCTATGAGTGCCCATCCCTCTTGGCAATAAAAGCCCTTCTTAGATCAATATTTGCTAGCCGAATTCATTGCCTTATTTCAACACGTATACCGTTGGAAACAGAAGTGAGAGGATTCGTTCCCCTCAAAGTGTAAGCGTTTATACTGATAGCTGCGGTACCTTTCAGCAGATGCTGCTCTGAGTGATGCGTACCCACACCTCAAACAAGATGGTTCAATATTTCCAAGGATTGTTGTTCTGGCAAAGACTATGTTCACTTAGGCGATGATGCTGTTTTGGATAGAGGTTTCATAGAACAACAATGGGGCTGCATTGCTTATAAACCCGCTGCTCTTACCGACCATAAAGCGAGCAACTTTAAAGACAGTATAACTCGGTTCTTCGGATTGTAGTGAAATGCCGACAGTAACAAGGAATATTCTGACGTAGAATTTTACTCTCCGACCAGATTGATTGTATGTCCAGGCGGCGATGGGAGCACTAAGTAATATCCCAATCCAGTAGATGGCGCTGATGGATCCCAGACGCGCCTTTTGGACGGTTCATGGATGTCGGTCGGACATCCAACGATTGTGGACCGTTGATTAACGATCCATCATCTCCATTTGCCGATGGTAATTGATCATTGCTTAGCACTTAAGTCTGCAGAACGAAGTAGGATGGCTGAATCCTTACAGAACAGATACAGGCCAACGACACAGGAGTTGGCCTTCCACAAATGATGTGTCTTCTCAAGAGAGACATTAAGAGTTTGATATTCTACAGGAACATCATCTGGTAGGGAGTGGAACTCATTGTACATCTTCCCTCGGCGGCTACGGCGGAGGCGCTCCAGAAACCAGGAATCTACAGACGGTGAGTTGGGATTAATATGCTGTTTAGTTTGAGTACTATCGAAGAGGTCCGGGCTTCGGTGTTGTATATTAGAGGATGGGAGTAATATGATGACCAGTGCGGATTTGAGGATTGATTCCGGGCACTGTTCTTGGTAGACCGCAAAGATTTATTGAGCCCTTAGCACGTGGCTTTAGTGCGATGATAGTATGGTGCTGTTGTATGACAAAGGGTCTTCTAAGGGGATGCGCTACAATCTCGGATAGTCAAATTTGTTAGTTGCATCGACGTCAGTGCTGGGATTGTTGACATGGGTTTATGATGAATGTGAATCTTTCTATGTACTGCTTGTATCAATTTACCATCATCACTCATATTTAAATATGGATAAATTGGGGATAGTGGGGTCTCTTGTACCTACTTAGGTTGGTACTCGAAAAAGCGTACGCATGCTTACTGCACGGTGTTGGATAAGCTAATTGAAAGATATTATGGATATGACAGCACAAGCTTAGAGAATAACTAGTATCCACAGAGTCAACCCACACATCGACACTAAGTGAAGCTATTTCCAACGGCGAGTATAGTGATTCAATCATCATCCAGAGCAGACGCTGCCAGCCTATCCGCCTCCTGGTTAAATTCTCTCGGAACCTGCCAGAACTGGACAGGGACCTGCTCATTTTCAAGAGATTCGACAAGAGAATCAATCTTCTTAAAGTGCTCTTGATTGGCGACGGGCAAGCCCTTCGCGGTAGTCCAATCATTGGCTTTCCATTTGAAGATCCATTCGGTCATTCCGCGCACCACATACTCCGAGTCTGACTTGATCACCACGGTGTGAAGCCTTTCTTCTCCATCTCCTGTCATTTCGGATAATCCATCCCAGCACTTTTGCATGACGTACGCACCAAGCAGAGCCCTCTCGCAGGCCGCGAGTTCGGCGACCTGGCTTGTTTGCTTGAGATTGGGGGGAAGACTGGCACTTCCGTTTAAGGGATGGTCGTGGCCGTGGTAGACCCCAGTTGACGCCCGGGCTCCGTATCTGCCATTATTGCGGCACGCTCCATCTATGGCAATCACGATACAGCCCAGGTGACGCGTGTGGCGTTTGCAGTGGGGGCATTTTCTTTCCGAGCCTGGGCAAGCGAGAAAGACCATGTTGTGTGCTGGAACCTCGATGTCGCTCAAAGTGAAGTGTTTTGGGTATAGCTCGTCCGGGTTAAATCGGCGGCTTGGGACGGAGCCTGCCTGTGCCGGCTTTGGGGGAGATGAAGTGGAGGTTCCATCTGTTTCGCGACTAGACAGAGAGCTGCGACAATCACTGTGCTTTTCCTCCGTGTGGAGGCTCTCGGGCGTGCCCTGGTTGAAGGTTGAATCGGTCAGTTACACTGCTACCGGATTGCATATGAGGAAGTCGCTCTGAGGAGTGCTAGGTAACTCCGATCAGTCCATCTAAGAGGCTCGTACTCACCTGGCGAGACTTGGGCTGCCTCTTCTTCCGGTAGCGTCTCTGCATCTTTGAAAGAGAGATATGTGGAATGAATTAATCCCCGAATGTCATGAGCATTGGAGGGAAATTGCTCCTGCTCCGTGGGGAAAAGCGGGAGAGCGTCGCTACTTGATGAATCGTAAAGACAAAGAAGGCTTTCAATTCACTTGGTTATATCACGTGTAGACGACCACTCCACATAGTCAGCGACGTTGATTCAATGTGACTAGCAGTGGTAAGCCACCCTTATAGGGGTTGGCGTAATCTCCATTACTGGCAGTTTATGTCAGATGCTTCAGATGATGTTTAAGCAAGACCCGGAGTCATCTTCGAGGCATCCAAATTTTCCAGGTATATAATCACCTCATTCTGCTATTCGGTTACTCACACTGATGAAGGAAGCACATACTCGTCCATTGTCGAGTGTCCGTTTGAAAAGGAAGGTGAATAGCTGCCTCGAACGGAAACTTGAAAGTGGGAAATAATGCAACTGCCAGCCAAATGCACCAACATATCGGCGTCCTTCGCTTGACCATAGTCAGAGACTGGGGCCTGCGGCTTAGATGATGCTCGATTATAGTATACTGCTGGCTTTTCCGATAAGAGTCTGACTGCGGCGATGCGGGTGCCCTTCGGCTCCATTTTTGATGCTGACTTGGTTACTAACCTTCAACTTGATGACGATCAGGGTCCCGTAATTCTCCGAAGAGCCCACTTATAAAGGATGGGAGAGTGCGACGGTCTTATTGCTATACTGCTGATCAAGTCGGGTTGACAAATGCATAGCAAGGGAAGTAAATCAATTCCGAAGGCGGAAGGTATGTCGAAGGAAGGGCAAGCCCCTTGCATGTTTAATCCCAACACGAAACCAGGGCCCTGATCGTCATAGACATCATTCATTTAGCTGTTAATCCTGGCATGCGGAATGCAAAAGCCGTCATCGCTCATTAATCTCCTCCACGGTCGGCCTGGTGTACAAAGGCGGGGATGGTCGCAAGGTGACTGTCTCGTCCGGGTGATCAACCATCGGGTTCGCCCTTCTCGATATGTATATTTTCAGTACTTACAAGCTGGACAGCAGTTACTACGAGAAACGAATTTCATCTGCAGAATGGCTCAGATTCGTGCATCATCACCAATGATTCGCTTGATTAGAAGCTGAGCTCAAACTGGTTCGAATGACTCGTCGCCAACCTCAAGGAATCGGCCACTGTATAAAGCCACCCAGTAATAAGATGGAACAAGGCTGGGGGATATAACGTCATACTGCAGGACCCGATCAAGCCCTACATCGGAATCTGCGTGCAACAAATTCAGCCAAGGGGTGATCGGTCCTCCCGAGGCTCCCTTGCGCACATTCTCTAGTATTCGGTGACAATGGTACCTTGAGATCGGACGAAACTTCGGGATCATCGGTTTTGAGGGGTGTCCTTGTATGTTGGGGATAAGCACCGCTTGCCCATCCTGACTTGTGTTGATGGTGAGAGACACGCCAGCGCAATTTAACCAGAGTATTGCTCCCGATACAAGATACACCCTTTCGTCACACCAGTGGGTAATTATTCTGCCTTGATCCGTCGGACAAGACATTGAAGAAAGAGGACCAGATATAGATCGGCTATGCCTGAACCAACAATGCCAGTGCCCATAATGGCACTGAAACGGAGGAGCAAAAGTTAAAATTGGGTGGCCAACGTAACTTCAACGCCCGGCTATGCCAGGAACAAACTCAGACCTTTAATGGAGCTGAAGGTTGAGGGAGTGGCAGAGAAAGGATACTAGACCTCATCAGCCCATAACACGTACCTGTGTCGACGAGTACGAAGAATTGCGTAAAAAAGGAAAGAGAGCGTCGCTACAAGGCACAATGTATTTGTCATTGGTGCCTTTCAGGGACATCTAGTAGAGGATGACACCATCTATATCATGAGATGCGCCAACAATAGTTTCCTCCGGCATGCTGACGGCGGGGAGATAAGCTTCCGATCATTAGCTTTGCGCGCCACGTCAGCTTGAACCAGGGTACCTGGCTTGGTTTGCTCTAGTTTCGAAATAGCCCTATGCTAAGACCTGTTGGGTTACAGGCGCCAAAGGATTATCGCAATTAGTCACTTGGAAGGACTACCAGCCTCACCGGATTCCTAATGCGCTACTGTGTTTCTACTTAAAGAGCCACCCCGGCCTTAGGTAGCCTTGAATCGCTCAGGATTCAATTCTCCTTCTTCCACCGCTATTCTTCAATTGTGGCCAGCGCAAGCTAGCCACGAGTCGATCAATGGGTCATCCGGAAGCGACCGAGACCCCTGGTCAGTGCATTACTAATGCAAGTGAGGGGCTTCTCCAGCTCGATGAGAAGGAAGATCCCAGACAATGGCCAAAAGCCAGAAAGTGTAAGAAATGCTCCTATTTGGTCTGTGACAGTGGGATCATGGAGTTAATCAACATCCAACGATGATTTAGGGGTGTGTACGGTGATCGTGGCGGTGATGACGGGAGTAATCGCCTTTTGTTCGAGTATTTACACCGCTGGAACCAGCCTCATCACTGCCACATATGGCTGTTCACGCACCGTTGCCACTCTTGGAGTGACGACATTTCTGTTGGGATTTGCATCAGGGCCCCTCATCTTCGCTCCTCTGTCTGAAGTCTAGTCAGTCTGTCGAATCTCTCTGTCCCTTGGCTGCTGGCTCATGCGTCTAGGGTTGATGTAGCGGCCGCAACCACATTTTCCGGGTTACTCTAGGACTGTTTGTTCTCTTCCAGATCGGCTGTGCGTTGGCACCAAATATCTCATCGCTCATCATTTTTCGATTCTTCGCCGGATTTTTCGGTTCTCCGTCGGTCACCAACTCGGGCGGGTCTATCACAGATCTCTGGCCGCAAAGCGAACGGTCTGTTCCCTTGGCTTTGTTTTCCGCAGGAAGCTTCCTTGGACCCGTCTTCGCGCCAGTTGCTGGCGGGTTCATTTCCGAGTATCTCTCCTGGAGATGGAACTTTTGGGTGGTCCTCATCGTCAGTGGCGTAGTTTATGCGGCATGCGTGCTCTTCCTCCCAGAAACATACGCCCCCAAACTCCTACGAGATAAGGCTCGTCGCCAGGGCATCGTCCAGACCGGTCCCTCTCTCAACTCACAACTTATGACCTCTTTAACCCGTCCTTGGCTGATGCTATTTGCGGAGCCCATCCTCTTTCTACTATCCCTCTATATGGCATTCATTTATGGGATCCTATACCTGGACTTCACAGCCTATCCGATCGTATATGAACAGTCCCGTGACTGGACCCCCGGTATCGCCGGGCTTTCCTTTCTAGGCATGGGCACAGGTATGGGAATAGCCACAATCGCCTCACCATACGTGAACAAGATTCACGCGACATATGTCACCAAACTTGGCCCCGAGCCAGAAGCTCGACTCCCCCACATTATCATCTTGGCCTGGCTGATCCCCGCCAGCTTATTCTGGTTTGGTTGGACCGCGATGCCCCCGATACACTGGATCGTGGGCATTGTATCAGGGGCACCGTTCGGCTTCAGTCTCATTCTACTCTTTCTCGCCATCACTTCATATCTCACGGATTGTTACGGACCATATGGCGCAAGTGCGCTTGCGGCCAATGCAGTCTTCCGTTCGGTTTTTGGAGCAGTCTTCCCACTGTTTGGCCCATATCTGTATGACGGCTTGGGGGTACCCTGGGGCTCTAGCTTGTTAGGATTCTTTGCCCTGGCGTTTGCTCCCCTTCCGTGGGTGTTTTATCACTTTGGGCCGAGAATTCGCTTGAGAAGCAAGTATCATATGATGATGAAGTCTCAGGGCTTATAGAGACTGATCTCAACCTGACGTGGATAAATAGTTATGATTAATTTTGTTCCTGCTGCAAAGGAAAAGTAATTGGAAACATGAGACTCCGAAACTGTCCAGCCGGAAACTGGTCTCAGAATCTCCTCTCTACATCAAGACATGAATATAGTACCCTGCACCGCGTCGCATACCCAGTGCAATACACTCTAGCTCTACTCAAAGAATATCGTAGATGCAGTAGGTACATACGTGTGGCTATTGCCCAAGCTACTTCAAGAATTGTGCAAGTTTTATATAAGCATTACTATCTGGCCCTCGCGAATCCAACTACCCAAATGTCCTCCGCCATCCGTGTTGAAAAAGAGCCAAAGGTTCAAGACCAGCAAATTGCTCGAACCCAGCCTCTGCAAATGACAGGTTATACCAATCATAGTCCTGAGGTACATTGACATTAATCCCACTAATCAATGGATCAATCGCGTTTGCTTCTGCTTCATTTGCGGCTGTTTCAGAATTATTGTTGTTGTTAACATTATTAGCCAAGCAGGAGCTATGTTGAGCTACCGCCGATGATGGTCCGTCCTCTGCAGTGTCATTCAGCATACTAGCAATGGGGCCTGGATTTTCACTTGAGGGCTCCATGACTTGAGAGTATCCTGCGGCGGACGTCTGGGGATTTTCGCTTTCACGGCTGGGTGTTGGGAGATGAGCTGAATAGATGCACATTAGTAATTCAACGGTGTTTCCTCTCCATAAAGGAAGTTGTAAGGGATACCTGGTTCAGTTGACGTACAATCTTGAAGATTCGTCGGTTGATGTAGATTTTGTGTTGAATGCTTCTGAGATTCTCCCTGCAGTGCAGTCTGCAGTAATTCCCACTATAAACCAATAGTCAAACCCTTGTACAATGCCAGACCCATCCAAAGCATCAGCGGCATGAGAAAATACCAGAGAAGACTTACCGGACGTTGCAACGCCCTCCAATAAACTCTATGACGATCAATTAGATGCAATATTGATTTCACGGTGCTTAATCTGCAGCCCTGACCATATCCATTCTTTTCCTCATTCCCATTCCCACTGGTTTCGACGCCGAATCCATTCACATTCACTCGATTTCTTCTGTTCGGGCATGAAATCTCCATGAGAAGAAGAACGATGCCCACGACAAACGCCGCATAGCCGACGAGAGGAGGTAAGAATGAAACATGACGCTGACCCGAGAGATACGGTTCTAATAGGCGACATAGTAGATCAGCGTGCTTTGCAACAGTTGTTGCGCTTTGCCTCCGGTCGGCTGCGTCTATTGTTTCCGAGCTGTTTTCATTTTCGATGCCCGAAAATAAGGGCACGATCATTGAATGGATACTGATTTGGCACTGGTGATAGAGAGTATCGTGCACGAGCAATAAGACTTGGTCCTGGGGTATTGAAGTCTGGTGATGGTTACCCTCGTCATTAGAAACTGAATAAGAGTTCCTGTAATGGTCTGCAGCGTCGTAAAATGAGGTTGCTAATTGAGACAATTTCCGACCAGACTCGAACCTTTCTGAGAGTAAAGAGCCGGTCTTATTGTCTTTGCACAGTAGTTGTACCTTTGCCCTGGCAAGTAATGTCATTATCAGCTGCTGTTTGCCATGTCTCTAGGGAAGCAAAATAGTTCTCCTGACCTACCAGACACCCACCATTTTCATCAAGTTCGCTGGGACTGATCCCGAGTTTGCTGCCGGTGTCAGAGCGCGAGAAGTCCAGTTTTCATCCATCGTTTCGCCAGGCATTATTTTGTACCCTGATGGTGTGGATCGAATTTCCCCGGGAAGCGGCAGCATGGCGACTTCCTGCCAGGAGGATTTGATATATGGCTCGGGCTCCATGACGATGCATGTCGACGTCCAGCAGGCCCAGAAACATCGCCGAGCCAGCTCCGATTCAAGGCTCATGTCATGATCAAGACCAACGATACCATTCGAATTATTGGTATACCCGAGAAGATGGCAGGCACGATAGGCTAATGCTGTTAAAATCTGTTAAAGCTTGCATTTCCCATAAAGTACACATTACCAACGATGTGTGTGTGTTATTATTTAATGGCTGTTAGTGACGGATGGAAACTTACCAAGACAAAGATTGCCCCGATAAGGCTGTCCAATAGCGAACCAATAGTGTTGAAGACACTCAAGTGCTTGAATGACCATGAGAGACGGACTGTCTGCGGCAGCAACAATGGCTTCCTTTTCAGCAGCTTTCGCCCATGGAAGACCAGAAGAGTGATATATACTCAGGACTTTTAACTCAGCATGTTCTCCAATGAGGTCTTTTCCATTATCGGAATCGAAGGGTTGAAGAAATCTGGACATAGTTGTTAAGCAAAGGATATTCTCCAGCAGAAAGCAATGGTAGCATGGACCGCAGGAGAACCCACAGTGTTGCCAATGCCAATAAGGCTCTAAGAAGCGCGCCATGAAGCTTTTGCTCCAGATATTGTTGAAATAAAACAGACTTGTGGAATAGTAGAGGTGCATTATATATGCGCGTGAAGTAGAGTTCCAGGAGAGAGAGACCAAGGGCAGTGGGAGGTAGAGGTGGCTGGTCTTGATCAGGGGTATGTACTGAGTCTGTTGCTTTTTCGGATGAGCACATCGTTCGTAGCTGATTTGGATAGGACTATGAAGATATCAAATTGGGAATCAGCCCAGAGTCGCTATAGTATCAAGCCCCACGCGTCAACTTAGCGCGTACATCGAGCAATACGGGCGTTCCTGTAGCTAACACTACGGAAGCGTCATGCACTGCGGTGTCGCTGCGAGGATGCGATATCCCTTCAAGACCCTCATCAAAGCCAACGGGGTTCGGGGTCGCGCTTTGGCCTCGGGTGACAATGGTCTGACCCAGCGGCTCAATCCTCGAAGGCGATGTCTGTTGTAATGGCGATGACTGATCGATGTAAGGCTGCTGAAGGGGTCTTCGCCGAGGGCGAGAATGTTCCTGCGGGTGGCTGCGTTCAGTTGCCCTTTCTGGGAGCCGAGCGCGTTGTGAGCGTGGGCGTGGGCCCCGACGGTTCGGGGGCAAAGGATAAGAGCATGTCGCGTCCACCCGTTGGCATCGAGCACACACGGGGCGCTGACGGCCACACTTGAGCTGGGCAGAGTTAATTATCAGGAAAAGAGGCATATCCGAGTACAGAAATAATTAGTGTTGTAATCACCTTCTGCGTACGACATCGCAAACATGCAGTAATGGATGGGCGACTCCCAGCGCTTGCTTGTCTCTGGTCTCTTTCTTGGGTTTTGGAGGGGTCCATAATCGGTCTGCATGAGTAGATTGGAAGTAGGTAATTGGCGCTATTCTGTCGCTGCTTATCGGACCGAATTTTGAAACTCGAAACGAGAGATCTGAAGAGGTCGACGAATACCGAGGCTTCTTTTTGTTTGGTTCGGAGCTGACGTCAAGGATAACGAAATTCGGGCCGAATCACATGTACCTAGGCACTCATCAACCATCAGCCTCCCCATAGTGGGTCATTTCTTGACCCAACTGGCTTCTCCCTAGTACCACATTGAATCAAGCTGGCGGGAATATAAATACTCTGGTAGCCGTCGCTTATTTCGAGACAATTTAAAGCGCGGCATCGCCCCATCTGGTTATCAGGATGACCGCCACTGATTCTTGAGCGAGCGGTGAACTGGTTGGTTCGTCACATACATTGCTAGTATAGACCTCATCTGTTATTGTCGCGAAACCCCTCTGCGCGGCGAAGGGCTGTGGTTGTGGAGCTTTCATTATGATTTGATAGTAGGTGACCAGGTCCCAGAAGCACAGCGAGTTCAAAGATGTCCCGAGTAATGATAATAATAAGAAAAAAAAAAATAAATAAATAAAAAAATAAGTAAGAATAAGAATAAATAAAAAAAATAAATAAAAATAAAAATAAATAAAAATAAATAAGAAAAAATAAAAAAAATAAAAAAAAAAAAAAGGGAGAGAAGAATGCAGTCAAGATTTAGGAACTCTACCATGAATCTGCGGTTGTAGAGGTCCATCCGGTAGGAAGGCTATAGATGCATATTTGAAAATAGAGTTGAGCCGAGGGGTAAGAAGCATAGCATAAACAGCAATTCTTTCCTTGAAACTACAGCCAGGAGCATCTCAAGCAAGCCCCCCTGTACTGGAATTTGATTGGGTATTATCCTGGCAACCCAGATCCATTTTTGGCAACGTACCCCGATTACTGAGTCGGGCCGAATCCAGCTCCCAATGGGCAAAACCCCAAGAAAAGTTCCGTATGGATCGTGAAGTGAGCAATGTGCGACGACTTTCAAGAGGTGTTTACTTGGAGGTATGAGGGGACAGGCAAACTGTCAGGATCAGTAAATGTTATTTACTATTTAGTCAATCATAATTGGTTTGTCATCACAGGTTAAGAATGGCTAGTTCATGAATTCGGCCCGAATAATTCAAGTCAGACCACCCGGCTCACCATTGTCTCTGTATAAAAGAAGACTGCAAACAAATCAAGATGGCCTTGCATCTCCACATCAGAACCACTTCCTGGATCTCCATGTTAAAGTGACCTTCTCGCATCGTCTCAGTCTCTTTCATAGTTATTGACCTACATACCAGCAATGCTTCTTAATCACTTTTTCAAATCCAACGGGTCCTTCAGCTATGAAGCACTCCGGGCCGCTGGCTACAGCAATTACGGTGGTGCAGATCTTGGGGAAGTGATAGCAATATGTTCCAAAATCCGGCCTGGAAATGAAGAAGACTGGGTCCGCGAGTGGCGGAATGCCGCAGAGCGAGCAGTTTCCAACGCAGACCACTCGAAAACAGCCAAAAACAGTGAAAGTGCCTACCATGGATACCTTCGTGCATCAAATTACTTCCGAACGGCGGAATTCTACCGCCGAGAAAATGTCAATGAAGATGAAATATCACAGTCTCTCTTTGAAAGCTCCGAAAGTTCGTTTGTCAAGGCGATGGAGGTTTCGGAGTTTTGCTATGAGCCGATTAGTATTCCTTACGAGGAGACATCTTTACCAGGATATTTTGTACGATTTGACAGGACAGACAAGCCACTACGCACGATTATCTTCAATGGCGGGTTTGACTCAACGGCGAGCGAGGGATGGTTTGCAATTGGGGCAGCGGCTCTGGCTAGGGGGTATAACTTCCTCGCCTTCGATGGTCCCGGACAGGGTGCGGCGATCCGAAGCCAAGGGATGCACTTTCGACACGATTGGGAGAAGGTGCTCACGCCTGTTGTGAACTATGCTATATCTCGCCCAGAAATCAACGCTAATGGCATAGTTCTCTTCGGATGGAGCATGGGTGGGTACTTAGTGGCTAGGGCGGCTACGCAGGAACATCGCGCGGCTGCGATCGTGCTCGATGATGGCGTGTATGATTTTGGTTCTGCATTTCGAAATGCGCAGCCACTTCTCGTCCAGAAGCTCGTGGAGCGGAAATATGACGCTGTGCCCAATTTGCTATTTGAGTTCGTGTCTTCCTTCTCGACGGGGACTCGTTGGGCTTTGCGTAATGGCAAATGGACCTTTGGTGTGGACTCAGCCGCAGAGCTTAGCCGTGCAACCAGCAAATATACGTTGGAAGGGATCAGTCATGATATCGTGACGCCGTGTCTTATTGTTGACGCGGAAAACGACCACTTTCTAAAGGGCCAACCGGAATTGCTGAGAAGGAATTTAAGCTGTGAATGTGAACTTGTTAGTCTGGGGGCTGAAGAGGGCGGAGACACGCATTGCCACCAAGGGGCCTTCTTTCGCCTGCATCAGGTGGTATTTGATTTTTTGGAGTCCCGGCTACATCCGGAAAGGAAAGTCTAGTCTTCCACCCAAGACGTTATATCTTTTGCCTACCTGTTTTTGATTTGTCTGTGCCTCCCCTTAGTTTCCAATTATGAGTAGCATGGCTAATATAGTATGAGCGCTGTCCGAATATAAAATACATTGTTTATAATTATTGTATGACAAAGAAGCTAAATATGCAGTGAAAAATATACACTGAGTAGGCCTTGGAGTAATAGGAAGATTTTATACGTGGGAAAGACTTATAAGAATCCTATGTGCTGAGAAATCCTTATAGGTTTTATGTGAATCAGGCATACATAAAGGTTATGGTTACTTTTTTTCATCCATGGTATGACAACTAGCGAATCTCTGGTGTTGTGTGTAATCTTTTCTTCTTTCAACATTGACGTATCTCAATTGCTTCTTTCATAACTCCATTCTAGACGGTCCTGCCCAAAGAGAGATGGTCATAAACACATGTTAGATAGCCTTCATTTCTTCCCATCCGCGAGACAATCATCATCACCGTGCCGCAGATCCGATCGGTCCCCATCAAAAATAACGGCAATCTCTTCTAGCGTATGACCCTTTGTCTCCGGAAAATAGAAATAAACCGTGGCCAAGATCCCCATAAGGAAGACACAGAACACAATATAATACCTCCATCCCAAATTCTCCATTCCTATCGGGTTGCAGAACGATGCAATGATAAGTGATCCATAAACGGACATCATCTCGACGGCTAGCCCCTTCGAGCGAAGCGAGTAAGGAAAGATTTCTGTGGGGTACCCGAGGAGTAAGGGAGTCCAGGCGATATCGTAGTGGAAGTATACGACGAAGACACAGATTATGACGACGTAGCCTGCGGCTTTGGAGCCAGTCTCGCTGTTGAGGGCCGAACAAATTGCCCATACTATAAAGGAGATGAACATGCCTATGCTGCTCCAGACAAATAACGTGCGGCGACCGAGTCGGTCGACGAGGAAGGCGGCCATTAGTGCGGCGGCGAAGTTGAAGAGTTGGAGGAAGCCGTTGATCAAGGTTTGCGTGTAGGAGGATGTAATACCGACAGAGTCTAGGACCAGGGAGAGATAGTACGAGACTACGGCTATGCCGTTCCATTGTGCGAAGGCGCCGACGCAAATTGCGATCGTGGTTCGTTTGCGGTTGCCTTTGTTTTTGTTGTTAGTATCGGTAGCCGGTCTAAACAAGGGAGAGAATAGGCGAAATTACCTGGTGTTGCTACTAAAGCGGACCATCCCGTGGCTTCGAAGCTCTTCTCGAGTTCGATGGCATGCGAAATCTCGGCCATCTCCACTGAAACAAGTGGTGAAGGCACTTCATCCGGATTCCTTTGGCCCGCGTGGTATATCTTTAGAATATCAGTAGCCTCTTGGATCCGGTTCTGGGCTACCAGCCAGCGAGGGGATTCCGGAACCCAGTAGAGGAAGGCTAGCTGCACCACAGGATACCCTGCTTGCAAGATGGACGGGGTGCGCCAAGACCAACTTCCAGATAGTGATTGTGTGCCAAACGTGCACCATGAGGATAGAATGGCACCTAGGTAGTACATGGTCCAATAAGCCGAAGTATATTTACCACGATGTGTAGGGTATGCCAATTCCGCAATCAGCATCGGGCTTGGCTGGGAGCTGAACATCCCTCCAATTCCAATCAAAATGCGGGCTACTATGAACATAGCCAGATTTACCGACGCACATTGGATAGTTGCGGCAATGCAGATGAGGATAAGTCCGGTAAATAGAATCGGCTTGCGACCATACCAGTCGCAGAGGTTTCCTAGGAATGGAAGCGCGATGACACTGCCGATGGACTGCGCGGCCACTATGGTTCCCAAGAGGCTGCCCGTGGGATTGTTGAAGTATGTCTGCCATTGTTCCAAGGATTGCAGTCCGTTCATCAACGACCCTGTAATATCATGTCTTTAGTCTTTAGAGTCACACAAGTGACTATTGTATACACTCCTCACCATCGTAGCCAAACGTGGAGGACGAGAGCAGCGGTATGAGAAGGACTAGGTTCAGTCGTAGCAAATGCGGTTGCTGAAACCAGTACTTGTCTGTGACTGGGAGTGCCGCTGCAAGCGATCCGCCTACGATATTCGATTCACGTGTCATCGTTCCACTGTGACTGTCTCTGCCCTTCCACTGGAGGACAGGGAAATCCGGGGTAAAATAGCTGTCCAAAATAAGGTTTGGATTTTCCGGGGTCTCCGCATCCCTCTGCCGCTTCTTGTCGCCTGCATCGTGGTATAAAGCCTACCTCGACGATCCCTCGACGCTAATGGTCCAGATGATTTCCCGGGAAAAGTAGGGAAAATTAGAGGAAAAGGAAAGCATGGAACAAGAGAGAAAAGAACACAAGAGACGGAGAAGCTATAGAATAACAAAATAGCCTGATAAACTAACATACAAGAAGATTAAAGGTGGAATAGAGGAATGGTACATCAGGGCGCACGCAGGACACATTCAGGACCTTGTCAAGTATTTTTGTCATACTAAGATTCTTGCCTGCCTGCTTGGAACGGACGATGACGCCATCAGCAAATACTTTGCTACACAGCTTCTGTGTGATTCATGGCCCGTCAGTCTCTTCCCCGCAAGAATATGCAGATCAACGCTATACAGATCACTTGGCGGGACTCCAGCCAATCGTGTATGTTTCCACAGGGCGGATAGTAGCACCCACCCCCATGACTTGGGCCAATCTGCTAGTCGGTATCGGGATGAAAACTTCAAGTGTGAAGGAGAAAGGAGAGACAAGGGCGTGTCTAAACTTCTTATGTGGCTGGCACCAAAGTACCTGCCAGACCCCTGCTGGTCTTAATTGGCACTATACCCGAATAGTTAGTGTCTGCCTTGATAACCCCTCGCTTCAACAGATTCTTCCTCAACATAGCAAATACCCGCAAACTTCAGCGTTTATACCATCACGAAGGCCTAATCAAGATCCTGATTCATTGGATATAATAATATCAACATCAATGATTAGAACAGCTTTCCATATGTACAGTATGCGTCCGAAGGTTCTCCGCACAGGCATCAGAACGCGCACGTGCCAAATGATACCAAGCAAAAACAGATTTTCCCCGTTCACTACATCAACAAACCATGCCGTTTCACAACAAGAATTATTCGAAGAGGAACTCAACTATATTGTTGCAAAGTTTCCTCCAGTAGCCCACGCTTTCGCTTACGGCTCTGGCGTGTTCCCGCAGAGTGCCAAGGCCTCAACAGGCCCTTCCGTCCATGAAAACGCGCCACTAGCAATTACACAGATGCAAGGAGGCAACCAAAAGATGATAGACTTTATTCTCGGAGTCCCCTGCGCTGAGGAGTGGCACGGGCTCAATCTCCAGCAAAATCCGCATCACTATGGAGCATTAGGCAAGTTAGGGAAGCGTGCAATAGCGCGCGTTCAAGAACTCGGTGCGGGTGTCTACTTCAACCCGTTTGTTACGATCAATGGGGTGCTTATCAAGTATGGTGTCATCAGTATGGATACCCTTTGTCAGGACCTCGCGACATGGGATACTCTCTATGTTGCTGGGAGGCTCCAGAAACCTACGAGGACTCTCTGTGATGATCCACTTGTCCAGAAAGCAAATCAGGTTAATTTATCCTCTGCGATCAAACTCGCGTTACTGTTACTCCCTGAGACTTTTGCTGAGCAGGACCTCTATGCAACTATAGCGGGTATATCATATCTGGGGGATCCCAGGATGTCAGTTGGAGGCGATGATCCGCGGAAGGTGCAGAATATGATAGAACACCAGCTGGATGACTTTCGAAAACTGTATAGCACATTGCTTGGTGATATGAATAATGTCTCAAGTGTCGGATCCCCTGGTAGACTGCAGCAGTGCATGGACCCCTCTGTGCGTGGAAGTATCATTCGGAGTTTGCCCAGTGCGTTTCGCAGGAAGCTATACTTCGGATACCGGAAAAGGTATAGCACTGCCTTGGATGCGCATAGTTCCTCTTCACGGGGACGTAAGAGTTTGCCACACTGCACCCTTGACTTTAACATTGCTGGGGATACTGGTTTGCGACAACAGGTTGAACAGGCAATTCGGAAGACGGTGCGATGGCCGAGTTTTACCCAAAGCATAAAGAGTGCTGTTACTGCTGGTATTGCAAGGAGCTGGAGATATGCTAGAGAGAAGAGGCGTAAGGCTGTGCTTGGTACACGTTAGGATGTTTGCATTCCAGCTATTGGTAAACTAGTTAGATACATCGAGTTGATTCTGCATTAAAGGGCTTTTATTTCGAGAGCCCCTGCGGACTGAAAGGGTGCATCCATTAGCCAGGGATGAGATGCAAATGCAAGAGAATCTATTAACACAGAAAGTGACATGCGTCGCATGACCATTTGTGAACAACATAGATTACATCAGCCCTACCACATCGTTCATCACCGCATCTTGTTCCAAGTGAATGATTCACTAGTTTCCACGCTGTCATCATGCCACAATCCTTCCCAAACTTTAACAAAGATAGGTATCCAATCTCCTCCTCCAAACCTCCCAGATGTTGGAACAATCGCGAAAATCCACTTTCCCTAACAGACCAATAGATGGACGCGCCAGTGACGCGTCGACGTCATATATAGAGAAACTTAGATGAGGTCAGATCGTGTTAGATCAGATTAGATTGAACCTATTTGAGGCTGAGATGAGTGCATACAGAAAACTAATTCAATACATGGGAACACTACGCCAGACCAGTGCCTCAATACGAAGCTATTAAGATGAATAAGCTTCTTTTGATTAGACATAACACCAGGCGATTTCAGGCGGATGAAGACAGCATGTGCGGTTGAGCGACCCAAAATAGTCCATGAGCAGCCATCATACATATTCCATTCATTTGTATACCGTAAAGGTAAAGTGATCAGGACGTGTGTATGTCATAACAACCACCGTTGGACTCCTAGTAGTCACTGGCTGAGTTTCAATGCCAGCACTCACGCATCCCAACATCGACATACCATCTGCTGCTCACGTTCGCAGCTTCCACTTGGACGATATGGAATAAGCGTACCTTCTCAGTCTCGCATCTGGTCTTCCACTCTGAAAGCATGGGTATTGAAAGAGTCGTCTGAAGACGCATCCACGAGGTATGCTGCAGTCGCTGGGGAATACTCTCTCTCAATTACTCTTCTGCTGCTTCTGTGTGCACCAATATTGGCACGAATAGGAACGCCATCTCCACAGCCGTCATATCCAAGAGCAATAGGCCATTCATCACTCTCCGAGCTGGACGAAGAAGGAGTCTCTGGATCGGCGTAGCCATCGCGAACCGCAGTTTTCTCGAAACTAATTTTGATTTCTCTGAGGATGTCCGCCAGTGGCGAATCCTCTCCAGCAACTTTGGATACCCTCTGTGGAAATCTGTCCGCCTCTTTAAAAGACAAGGGATTGTCGCCAATCCGTTCATAGATTGCCACGAGATCTTCTATCACAGGGGCTCCTACCACAGTGGCTCCTATCACAGTGGCCCCGCAGGGGTGATAGACTGTCGCATCCCTGGGATCGATCATTGGCTTCACTGGTGGACGTACCCGGTTAGCCAGGAACTGAACGTGTGGGTTTCGTTCCTCTATGTCTGTGTAACCTAAGATGATGTCAAATGTCATGGGGGAATCACAGTGTGACACCCTAAGCATATTAATTGGTATGTTGTAGGTGTCAACGTCGTTTTCCTCAGTGATAAAATAACGCTCGCCGCTGGGGAACCACCATCGTAGACCTTGTTTCCAATGTTTAATTCGTGCGCGCTCTCGGCGGTAGCTTTCCTGTGCAGCCGTTGGATCTGTTTCTAGATCCATCGTTGGCCCCAGTGGTAGACGGGCGTTTGGCACAAGGCTTGACGACATGTTTGGTTAGGGTGCTGCTTTTTGTGAGATAGTGGGACTGGTAGAAAGGGAGATGATTCAGCGCGAGATATAAGGGCTTTATATACTTTTACTGTAGAAGCTACTAGTGTTTGGGCTTTCCGGAGTTTCAATAAACATAAGAGGCTTTTGCCGGTACTTGCATATCCTTGGGTATGGACCGCGATATCGCCTTCTGAAAAGTGGCACTACGAAGATTGATGCTGAGGAATTTGATGCGTCAAGCCCCCTGAATCTCGTAAGGGAACTTGCCAACAAAGAACACGTCCTAAGATTATTTTCCATATCACTAGATAGAATTGTCTATGGAGGCGAAGACATTAAGAGCCTACCGGAATCTGCAACAGTAGATAATTCTATCATGAGGATATCTCCGACTTGTCATACTAAACGTATTGGTAAAGTTGTGGTTGGATGGTACCAGTTTGAAATATCTTGAGAAAACATATATCTTCCCCAAATTACTTTTCTTCAGAACTTTCTGATGAATTGTAATGATAGTAGAATTCACCGTTTGTTCGTGTAGCTTCTGACCGGTTGTTAAACTCGGCTAATGGTATTGTGTCCACGGATGGCCATGAACCAGTGCCATTTTCATCACTGTTACTAGCACCGTTAACATGTGGGCTTGGTGAAGAGTCGGTTATAAGATCAGCCAAAGTGGGAAAGGCAGAGTTCATTGTTGACTCGAAGTCTCCCATTATCATTTCCATTGGCGTTTCTAGGTCACTGATATCAGACGACCTCTCGCCTTCGAAGCTCTCATCCGACAGGTAGTTATCATTGCCATATCTTCGGTAGAACGTCATTGTATTGTCGACCAAAGTTGCTCCCCAGGGATAATAGGTTCGAAAGCCTGAGCGGCTAGTGATCGGTGGTATAATCAGGCGTACTCTGTCTTCCAAGAAATGCAGTTGAGGATCACGATGCTGACTATCAAATTCGCCAGCAACAATATGGAACGTCAAATGGGAAATCTCATGTGTTACTGTGACTATGTCAATTTGCATACCGTAGGTTTCGGAGTCTCTCATGACTGAGATATCGTAGCCTTCTCTAATTGGAAACCACTCAAGCAGAAAAATTTCCCAGCGTTCCTGTAGTAACCTTTGTCTGTCCTCTGTGGACGTGTTATCTTCCGGTTCCATTTTCTTGTTACCCTAAACAGCACAGTGGCTGGGCTCGAAATCACAGTACCTTCGGTATTTAGGTTGTGCAAATATGCAACAAAGTGTGTTATGAGGCTACTTAAATGGTCGTATGTGATTCTAGCAATGACTAGGTTGCGGACCCTTCCCATAATTCCTAAGACCTTGATCGGTACTTAACTAACCTATTTGGCCCTGATTACCGCTTCGGTATATTCCACTCAGTTATCCCAACTCATAGAAGGCCCCACATAACGGGTACTTCTGTGGATGTGTAGGTCAATTTTCGACATCCCCAATAAAACAAGGAAGCGCCATAGTATGAGTTGAGAATGGATCTCTTGTCGCTAGTCATGCATTGCTCTATTCGCTTATATCGCTCAGTGGTTGGGCAATGCTTGATATTTAGATCATAATCCTAGATATCATGAAGGCTGGAAGGTTCATTTTACGATCTGCAATAGAAGTCAGACTGTTGTTTCCTGACAGACCACCCGCATTGGCCAGACATTAATCTTTTGCTTGTGCATATATCTCCAATCCTGACTTAAATATGCGAGAAACTTCGACGGCTTAATATTTGACCATCAGGTCGAGCCAATCTTGTTACTATAGATTTGAATTATATTATAAGCATCGTATTACAGGAATGTAAGCGAGCTAGTATGACCAGAGACTTTGGAAGATTTCTTTGTAGCACTTAAGACTAAGAATATATGCCAGATGGAACATCTATTACTTTTTAGTTTTCATGTTCAGAGATATATTGTTAAATTGTGGGAATAATATCTTTAACCAGAGAATAAATGTGTTGAAGATGACAGGGCCGGTGTATTCCTTTCATTAATAAGACCTAGGATATTTGCAAGAGCACATTTTGATTCGACGCTGAGAGGGCTATGGATTGATACATAGGTATAGGATAGTTGTGTGACTCGAGACATCGACTGAGAGCTAAAAATGTTACTTGCCTAGCAATATAATCGGCTAAGCAGAGAACTTGTTCAGGTAGATGAAAGTGATAGCAATTCAGAATAACGAGAAAGGAAATTTGTATATATCGAGGAAAAAAGGGAAGAAGAATAAATGTTTGTCAAGAGTGGTAGATAGAAAAAAAAGTTCTAGGAGTGATCAAATTATATAAAAAATTTTCGGGCTCTATAGCTGAGTTCTCAACAGTATATTCAATCTTCCCAACAGGGGGGGGGGGGGTTGCTTCAATCAGAGTCGTCAGCGAATCCAATGCTTCCAAAGTATCAGCAAAGAAGCCATATCAGTAAATTTAGGAAGAGCATACTCGACTATATATGAAAATAGATAGATCACAAGAAAGAATCCTCGAAGTCATTTAGAGAAGTATTCTTTAGGCAGAGGAGTCTAATGGCGGCATTAACTGGCAATAGTAATTAGATTGATATACCTAAATTCGGCGCACTCTTGCAGGGTGCTTGCGGCCGGTGCAAGCCGTCAAGCTGCGGAAATAACTATACGCAATATTCTTGTGGTATAACGTGTAATTCACCGTATTCGTCAAATACCGTAATTTAAAATGGAAGCTCTCCCTGACTCCTGCTGACCAATCAGAACGATCATAGCCAACCTCTCGTAGATGCCTCGTGGGCGACCTGGTGTCAAGTCTAGCTGGATTGTCGCCTCATATGCCTCAGCTGAAAGGAGTCACGACAAGCAGCTCAGTCCTTGACTAGAACACATCTCGAGCTCTACAGCGCACCTCAGCAAGCCGTCTGATTAATAATCCCAACGCAGCCGAGGTCCTAGGCCAACGGTGACTTGAAAAAATAATCAAAGCCATCCCTAACGACCCCGCCAGCAGAGCAGACATTGGCGGACAGCTTGGAACTAGAGCTTCGGAGAACGGTTTTGCGTTTATTTTACAAAAAGGACGGACCATTACAATGGTGGTACCTTTGTTTCAACGCCAACAGATTCAACAGGCGTGCAGCGGAGCTGCCCGCAAAATTCTGTTCTATATTCACAGGGGCCATTTCTGTGAAAACATATTGTGTCTTTCTTTCTTTCCTGGTTAAAGTTCATTACACATAACCTACCACTGCCACTCGGGTAGGGCTTATACAAAAATGCTGTCTGCGGGGTTTATTCCTTTGTCAGACCGAGTGTACCTGCGCAATGGCAGAAGGAGATCCAAAACGACCGGGACAGTCGAGCCAACAACAATCATCATTTTCGGCTGGGGTGACGGTATGCCGAAGCATGTCTCAAGATACGCCGATGGCTTCCATGATCTATACCCATCCGCTCGGATTCTTGTTGTGTTGTCAAGCACCTTACAGGCTCTAAGCCAACCTGTTGAAGAGCGGATACAAGACATGATGCCAGTCATTGATACCGTGTTCCCTACTGCCACAGGAGGTGGCAAAGATGAAGAGCGAGTTCTCCTGCATACTATGTCAAACACTGGCGGGATCTTCTTGGCTGCGGCCTTTACAGCCTACCAAAAACGCCATGGCGCGGACAATAGATTCCCCCACAAGCTTCTCATTTGCGATTCAACGCCCGGTGGGCTTTCTCTCTCCAGACAAGCCGGTCATTGGTCGCGGGCTATCGCTGTGGGCACATCCAAGTTCTTTCCGTGGCCATTTATTGTCACGCAAGCCTTGTGGTTTGTTTTACTCTGGGTTCACTACATACTGGAGCGGCTGCGCGGACTTGAGCCTTCTGGAGTATGGGCTGATCGGGTAATGAATGACGAGTCAGTCACAACTCGAGAGTCCAGCCGGCTGTACTTGTATTCCAAGGAAGACGAGATTATAGGATTCGAGGACCTCGAAGAAAATGTCGCCCAAGTTAAAACCCTGGGCTACCAGGCGGTTGACCTCGAGTTGTTCGAGGGCTCACCGCATGTTGGCCACATGAAGCTCCATCCACAGCAGTACTGGGGGAAGATCTCAGAGTGCTGGAAAGCGGCCATAGCCAGGAAATGATGGTTCTAATTGGCCGCGAACAATGGGTCATACAAGTGCCAGCTTTGACTCCTCAGAATCATGGACGAATGAGTCTTGCAAACTGTCGAAAAGCCATGTAGTGCCTTTCTTACATGGATCCCGAGCCGACGCCGCATGTTAAATGAGCAGCATGATTGGGCATATCACAATACAGTTTGCCCAGATCTTCGCAGCCATGCTTCCAGCGCCACTTACGGACTGAGACTGCTTGGAAACAAGTCGTACGCGGCCAGAATGACCGCAGCTGCGTTGGACACAGCTTACTTTGGTCACGAGCAACAACAATAGTAGCTCACATTCCTACTACAAATATTAGATTGAGATTATTTTTAGAATTGGCTTTCCCTCTGTTTTCCGTTCTCCAAGTTTTACATTGTGAGTTGTATCGTTGATCTTCTTCTGTCTTCATTGACGTTTGTAAAACCAAATAGATCCTACCGGTCCGTTCGGGACCTCCACACGGGCCATTCCGCCCCAAGACATAAAGTTCTGAAACTCTGCTAGCTCACTTCATAAATGCCTGTGGCTAGAACCCGGTCAAAGTTCCCAAGACACTGTGTGACCTGGGCGAGATGTTGAGGGGACGGAAGGGTGGACTCTTGTACATTTTATTATGAATGTCCTGTTACTCCCCATCGGACAGCTATGGAAAATGTTCGATAGACAAAATCGGACATATTCCAAAGAACCTGTTTTGACGGGTGCCCTAGACCTCTGTATTCGTTGGACGACGGACATTTGCCGCCATCGGAGGATCTCCTCGTCGGAAAATTCCCGTGTCGGGGCCGGGGCCCGACATAGAACACTATGCAATCAATCAGCCTTAAGAAAGGGAATAACCCCTCGGATACATAGCACTGATCGTAAATAGTGACATATACCGTGAAATGGACCCGAAAAATCAGGTATACCCTTCGTTCAACGAACTGCCGCTGCAGAAGGATGGCCCTGCCGGCAACGCATGGGGGCTTTGGGGTCCTGATGATCAACTTGGGTGTTTAAATCATCTTACAGATGATGTGGTGGCGAGAGCAGCAAGGGAGGAAATTAGAACTGGATCACGGATCTCTTTGAAGTACGTGAGCTGCGGCACTATTCTTACATGGGGATGGGGTGTGTTGTTGACCAAAATATATCTAGTTGGGCTTTAAATGCCTCATCATATCCTACCTTGACGCGCAAAAACTTGGAGCTCAAGTTGATTAACAAAGCGCCTCTGAAAATTGCTCATGATGATGAGGTATGCTCGATTCTCAGAAATTGCCAATCTCAAATGTAGGTCGCTGACTGAGAAACTATAGTGGTCGTTTAACCCACAATGTAGCTCACAGTGGGATGGATTTCGACATTACGCTTACCAGAAAGAGGAGGTAAGTGGAGAAAAAGGTTCAACATCATGAGCATGGTATGACTGACATGCACGTAGCTATACTATATGGGTCGAACGGCAGAGGAGTTCAGAGAATCCACAAATCCGAACGGAGTTCAACGTAAGGCTGCTATGTCTACCGCTTTCATGACACACATGTACAAAAAGAGCCTTTCTGACATGACTTGATCTTATACTGCAGACATTGCAGAACGGGGTATTGGTGGACGTGGAATACTCATAGACTGGTACAGATGGTATCAAGCAAACGGCCACACTGTCGATGCCATGAGTCCTCATCCGGTCCCGTTTGACCAACTGATTGAGGTACTGAGATATCAAGGGTTAACAGATAAGGACATTCGACCAGGCGATATCCTCCTGATTCGGTTTGGCTACATCAATCAGTATGAGAATATGAGAGGAGACAAACGAGCTCGACTCGATGCGCTCTACAAGAAGCAAAAACCTGAGAATATCGGAATTGAGCCATCGGAAGCATTATTGAGATTTCTCTGGGAAAAGAAGGTCTCCGCCGTTGCAGGCGATACGCGATCGTTCGAAGTTTGGCCTTGCACACAGGCTCAGTGGCATCTTCATGAGTGGTTGCTTGCTGGATGGGGAATGCCTATTGGAGAGTTGTTCGACTTGGAAAAGTTGAGCAAAGCTTGCAGTGAAGCGGAAAGATATACCTTCTTCTTCACTAGCGCCCCTATGAATGTGAGTGATGTCTGAGCCAATGGAATTATACTGAGGTTAAGTCTGACCATGCATATGATAAATAGGCCCCTGGGGCTGTTTCAAGCCCTCCTAATGCTTTTGCATTTTTCTAAATGTCTTTTTGGAACTTCAAATACAGGAGAGCAAGCTGTCATGCGGGTACTAGTGCCAGTCGGTACTAAAG